TTTGACCTAGATGAATAAAGAAACTGAAAAGAGAATAATAGCAGTGGTTTATCTGTGGAGGTGGGGTGGAAATGAGGACTAGAGGGATGGGAGATAGGGGTGAGAGGGAGACACTTCAGTGTAACCATGTAAAAAAAAAATGTACACGAACATCACTTTTAAAAAATTTATGTCTGTTGAGATTGTGGTGCAAATACAAAGGATATATATGTCATATACATTTTATTTATTTATTTAAGATTTTATTTATTTGTTTATTTGACAGAGAGAGAGAGAGACACACACACACACACAGCAAGAGAGGGAGAGGGAGAGGGAGAGGGAGAGGGAGAGGGAGAAGCAGGCTTCCCGCCGAGCAGCGAGGATCATGACCTGAGCCAAAGGCAGACGCTTAAAGACTGAGCCACCCAGGTGCCGCGCCCCATTCTAATTTTTATATATTCTTATGTTTTCACCAGTTACTTTATTTCAATATGTCTGAGTCAGTGACACTTATCTTCCCCCTCTATTCCTCCCCAAATAAAACCTTTGAGAATCTGATAAAAGTCAGGGTCTTATTCCCAGAAGAATGAGCATGTGTATATAAACAGTTTTACATATTATTTCCAGGATTAATGGATGCTTTGATCCAAATCAAATATTGTTAACTGTGATTTTAGTATGCAAGGATATTTAAAAAATCAGGTGTTTGGTGATAGGTTTATATGCAAGGCATTCCAGTGGGGGTGCAGGGGACCCTAGAACTAGGAGTCAGGAAACTTGGTTTCCAATCCTAGCTCTGCCATTATCAAGCTGCATGACTTTGTAACTATTTTACTTGTCTTGCCTTTTGGTTTTCTCCTTGTCAAATTGGTGCAGTGGAAAGTGCACATAGGCTTCAGTGTCAAGTACTGACCTGAGGTGGCTGTGTCTTCTTGACTTTGCCAGTTACTATCTGTGTGACCTTGGGTAGAGTTCTCTGAATGTTACTTTATTTCTCTGCAAAAAGAAGGAAAGTGATTCCAAGTTCTTTGGGTTTTATTTATCTATTTTTAAGGATTTTATTTATTTGTCAGAGAGAGAGCGTAAGCAGGGGGAGCAGCAGGCAGAGGGAGAAGCAGGCTCCTCACTGAGCAAGGAGCCCTATGTGGGACTCGATCCCGGGACCCCGGGATCATGACCTGAACCACCCAGTGTCCCGTTCTTTGGGTTTTAAAGATTAAATGAAAAGAGGTGTTTGAAAAAGCTTAATAATATTTGCTTTTGATAGGGCAGAAGTAAATGTTAGGTATCTTATCTTGAAAAATTAGGCTAGAAGCAGATGATCTCTAAGGTATCTTTTACCAGTAAAATTTTGATTGTATTTTAAACAATTCTTGTTACAACAGAATAATTTGGAAAATTGGTTATGGCAGCACAGATCTGAGATCATGTAGGAGAGCCATGAATTTTCAAGTCTGTAAAACTGATGTTGACCATATTTTCTACTTGTTTTCCATATTGCAGTGTCTGACATGTAATAAATCTCAAATATTTACTTGTAATTTTTAAAGACTCATTAAGGAATAATATAGATTGGAATTTCTTAATTTAGAGTTTTTAAGTACCTTAGAGATTTCTGAATAGATGTCCACAGGTCTGTGAACTCTCTGAAATGATATACAAAATTTTTAGTGTGCCTAAATTGTAGTGAGGAGCCATAGCTTTCATAGTGAACAAGACACATTAGGTCTCAGGTCTTGTAGAATCTATATTCTTATAGAAGATAGATATTAAGTAAGCAGATAAAAATATAAGAAAGAAAATGCTACTTATAGATGATGGAAATATTTTATGGAAAATTTAAATATAGTGATGGACTAGAGAGTGATTTAGAGTTTTAAGTGGTCAGGGAGGGTTTGACATTTTTGGTGGCATCTAAGCAGTAAAGAGTGGCTTCCAATTCAAAGGTTAGAGAGAATAGCTCATACTAACATCATAAGGTGGGAACAAGCTTCACTTGAGTAGCTGGACAGTCCTGGGGTGGTGGGGATAAGTGTTAGAAAATGAAGTTGAAGTAGAATTATAGGTCATATCATTTAGGGTTTCATAAACCAGAATAAGTAATCCAGATTTTACTCTAAATCTAATAGAAAGCTGTTTCAGGATTTTAGCTGAAGAATGATGAGAAAAGGAAACTCAAAATAGAGATCTGATGATTCCAACGTTTAGGAGTTTAAGAGATCAAAAACATAGCCAGCAAGTTGGAAAGGTTGAGGGGAGTGTGTTTCATTGACACTTTCAAGAAGCAGGAAGTTAGTAGTCATCTGTTTCATATCTTACTGAGAAGACAAATGAGATTAGAACAATGACCTGCCCATTAGATTTGGCAATAAGTTTAGCAGAATTGCTGTGAGGTCAGTAGCTATTAGGGCAGCTTTGTGACATTGGTTTTTGGATGAAGTCACAAGTAGTTCTTCTTTATGTTTAACCTTTAATTTGTGAATGGTGATACGGTTAAGAGTTTGGGTTTTGTGCCAGAATATCTGAGTTTAATATCTTAGCTCTATTTCTTTTTATCTTACTCAGCCTCTCTAAACCTCCATTTCTCAAATCTGTAAAATGGGATGACAGTAATTATCTACCTTTTATAAGTGCTCTGTGTAAGGCATTTAGCATTGTATGTGGCACGTATCTGTGTAAATAGTAAAAATTATAACAATATACAATAAAATATTTATGTTTTATGCCCTTTGGGGTTTGTATAGTTTATAGTGTTTGAGAGAATAAAGTGCTGTGTTTTATCTTTACTTACGATTAACAAATTTTAAGTTGTCTACAAGGCTGTACTAATAAAAAGGGAGGAACCATTAAACTACTTGGCAGAGATTAACACAAGATCAGATTCTTCACAGGCCTTATTATAAATTGCTGTGCTAATCTATAGAAAAGTTCATGTGGGTGATATTTCATTGATTTAATCAGGTTCAGCAAGCAGTTTATGACTAATACCTACTTCTTTTTTCTGAGTATTATGTCTTCTAAAAATTTACCGCTTTTTTTCTCTATTTTGGAGCATTCTCTAACCCCATATACAAATGTACCATTTGAGTCTGCAGTTGAATAGAGTAGTTAGATACTGTATTCTCTTTTTTTAACCATTCCAGATGAGAGTTTCAATTTATTAAGTAGTAATAATTTAATATAAATATACTTGGAGCTACTCATAATCTACTTGATTAAATCTATTTTATTAGAAGTATTTATCTTTAAAACATTATAGAAATCAAGATGTGAGCAATTTATTTACTCATTCTTTTTATTGCAGGGGCCGTCTTAACACACATGCAGATAACTTTTATTTTACATCCTGAACATAAAATTAACTTGGTAAAATCCATTTATCTTATAGCACACTTTGCAAAAACCTAAACAAAACTAGGGATTACTCAGAAGGCAGATATTATGACTGTGCTGTTTCACTGTTTCCCCAATTCAGTCTGGCACATAGTAGTACTTAGTAAATATTTGTTGAATGAATGGATACATTGTTAGCATATCTAATGGAAACTGTTCTCTCATCAATAATGGGATTGCAATTAAGGTTGAGTTATTTCAGTAAAACAAGAATTAAATATAATGCTCAAAGAATAAGATATATAGATGATTTACTTTCATAGTTAATTACAGCTTAAATAATTTTTTTCATCTTTTTAAGCAGTCTCTCGAGCATAATCAAATCTTGAAGAACCTTGTAATACTGTTACTTTATTGTTCTGTGCATCAATTCTCATTTTTAGAAACTACAGTTAGAGTAAGTGTAGTAGGTGTTGTTTAAGATATGTGCTGGAAGTTTTAGGTTGAATTTTATATATAAAAAGAATTTCTATTAGACACAGGTGATGAGTTTTGCGATTTGGCTATTATCCTCTGCCAAAAACAGAGGGTAGACAATGAAATTTGATTTTAGTTTGAATTATAATTGTTCTATCATTCCTAAATTTGAGAATTTAAAAAATCTTTTGAAGTAAATAATTTTAACTATGCAGTTGTTCTAATACAACACACAATAGCAATAAATATAGGCCATACCGGGGGCTTAAAGATAACTAACTACCTGTAAATAAAATTCTTAGCAATATCTAAGACCCTTAAAAACAAACTTTAAAAAAGCCCACAGACTCTTCGTTATCTCATTACCTGTACCCATTTTTTTTTTTTTTTATGTTTATTTGAGAGACAGAGATAGCTAGAGAGAGCAAGAGCAGGGAGGAGAGGGAGAAGCAGGCTCCCCACCAAGCAGGGAGCCCGACTCGGGGCTCCATCCCAGGACTCTTAAGATCATGACCTGAGCCGAAGGCAGATGCCCAACCTACTCAGCCACCCAGGAGCCCCACCCATACCCAGTTTGATGATAAAATATTTAAGGTAGTTTTTACCTTAGGCCAATTTTTAAAAACTCTTTATTGAGGTGTAACATGCACAGAAATGTACATTTCATCAGTGTAGAGCTTGATAAATTTTCACGGCCGAACAGATTGATTTAACTGGTGTTCAAATCAAGAAGTAATATTAACCACCTAAAAAGGCTAATTCTTCAGTATAATCATAGACTTCAATAAACTTCAGAGACTTAGATACTGGATCTAACTTTATTACTAACTTCATTTGTTACCTTGAGCAAGTAATTTTCTTTTTGGGGTCCATTCCCCATCTCTACAGTGAGAGGATAAAACTAGATGTTTTGTTATGGCTCTAATTCTATAAAAGTGTAAAACAATGTGCTATAATGATAGAAATATGGTATCAAAGGTTGTAGGTAGTAGAGTATGAATGCACAGTTTAATTGAAAAAGAAGACACTGATTTCTCTCTCTCTCTTTTTTTTGTTTTCCAGGTTATATTTCACACTATGTGCTGACTGTATCTACAGAAGATATTTAAAAAAAAAAAAAAACTTTTTTCAAAGATTTTGATTCCAGTGGAATCTTTGCTTTAGATTATTGTGTGTGTGTGTGTCAGTGGATTGTAACTCCAGTAACAATGCCTGTACAAGCTCCACAATGGACGGATTTCCTCTCCTGCCCAATTTGCACTCAGACTTTCGATGAAACAATTCGAAAGCCCATCAGTTTGGGTTGTGGCCATACTGTCTGCAAGATGTGCCTGAATAAACTCCACCGCAAGGCTTGCCCCTTTGACCAGACCACTATCAATACAGACATTGAGCTCCTTCCCGTGAACTCAGCATTGCTGCAGCTAGTGGGTGCTCAGGTAAGATGGGTGACTTACTATTCTTTTTAATTTCTGAGTGTATGTGTTTTCCTCCTAAGGGAAACTTGTTGAATTAAAATTGGGCAACATTGCCTTCTATCTAAATAGATAAAATTCTCTTCAGTACTGTGCAAATCCTTTATTGCAGTGTGTTGGGAGATGTATTGTGGTAGTGGAGTGTTCCTCGGTCAGAGCGCAGGAACAGCCATTTAATCTGATGGTCAGCCTTTCTCAACAATTTTAGCTGTTCAGATCACTAGAGAAACCTAAGAGGATGAGTCATAAGGACCTTCTTAATATTGAGGAAAATATTACTCATTTAACCATTGCATTTTACTTAATAGGAAAAGTGAAGCTACTTCAGACAGTTTTCCTTAGTAGACACTAACTGAAATGAAAGATGAAGATGGTGACAAGAACTATAGAGCATATTGGGAACCATTTTTCTAGAGTAGGAGCAAATATCCCTAGGTATCTAAATATAAAAGTCTAGCAAGTCTGATGGTAATACTCTAAAATTTAATGTCCATATTCTCAAATTTAGAGATTAGTAGTATCTTCAGAAGATTTCACAAAGCCAAGGCAGGCGGGTTTTTGAAAGCTAGATATGATTTACCTAAGTAATCCTTTTTTTTTTTTTTTTAAGATTTTATTTATTTATTTGACACAGAGAGTCATAGAGAGGGAACAGAAGCAGGGGGAGTGGGAGAGGGAAAAGCAGGCTTCCCACTGAGCAGGGAGCCCGATGCAGGGCTCAATCCTAGGATCCTGGGATCATGACCTGAGCCGAAGGCAGACGCTTAATGACTGAGCCACCCAGGCGCCCCTAGTTAAGTAATTCTTTACTAAATTTGCATAGTGTGAGTCTGAAATGCCATATATTTACCATAAGTCATTTTCTGAATAAATATACTAGAACTTTGGATCTGGCCCCATTAATGTTCTGTAGATGAATCTTGATATAAGCTGCTAAAATGTAGGAAAGGTTGATATTATGTATGTTGGAGATGAAGAGAGCAGTTCTAGAATAGCTTATTCAAAAGGAAAACTTTTGTTAAACCTCTTCTGTGATGTCACCAACAACACTACAAAATATTTGTCAAAAGGGAAAGTGCAATAGATCCTTTTGCTTCTTGTACTTAATTTTTCATTTCACAATCATTTCTCTTTATTTTGAAAATCCCACTATGATAGTTTGGAAACATTTAAAAAATAGACTTATTAAGGATAATAATTTTATAAATATACTATTATAATAGCAAATAACCAAGGCTTGCTTGTTTTCATAAAATTGTCTAAAGATGAACTCTTTCTACAAAATGAGTAAGACCTTGTTATATCTTAAGTGAAACAACTAAGGTTTATATTTGAGGATAGGGTATTTTATTTTATTATTTTTTTCAAATTTTAGGTAGTTAACATACAGTGCAATATTGTTTTCTGGAGTAGAATTCAGTGATTCATCACTTGTTTACAACACCAACTGCTCATAACAAGTGTCCTGCTTAATATCCATCACCCATCTAGCCCATCCCCCACCCACCTCCCTCCATCTGCCCTCAGTTTGTTCTCTATTGTTAAGAGTCTCTTATGGTTTGTTTCCCTCTTTCCTTTTTTCTTTTCCCCCTTCCCATGTATTCATCTTTTTTCTTTCTTAATTTCCACATATGAGTGAGATCATATGGTATTTGTTTTTCTCTGACTGACTTACTTCACTTAGCATAATATATTCTGGCTCCATCCATGTCATTGCAAATGGCAAGAGCTCATTCTTTTTGATGGCTGAGTAATATTCCATTGTATATATACCACATCTTTATCCATTCATCAGTCGATGGGCATTTGGGCTCTATCCATAGTTTGTCTGTTGTTGATAATGCTGCTATAAAACATCAGGGTGTATGTATCCCTTAGAATCTGTATTTTTGTATCCTGTGGGTAAATACCTAGTAGTGCAATTGCTGGATCGTAGAGTAGTTGTATTTTTAACATTCTGAGGAACAAGGATAGGGCATATTAATATACAGTAGCCACTATTTTAACTCTAAAGATTTCCTTTAAAAAGCTGTTAGAGTTCATAAATGAATTAAGCAAAGTTGCAGGATACAAAATCAACACATTAGTTGTGTTTTTATATACTAGCAATGAACAATCCAAAAGGAAATTGAGAAAACAAATCCACTTACAGTAGCATCAGATAATAAAATACTTAGGAATAAGTTTAGCAAAGGAGGCGAAAGACCTGTGCACTGAAAACTACAAAACATTGCTGAAAGACATTTAAAGAAGACATAAATAAATAGAAAGACATTGTGTGTTAATGGATTGGCAGACTTAATATTGTTAAGATCATAGTACTACCCAAAGCAATCTACAAATTCAGTGCAAGCTCTATCAAACTCCCAATGGTGGTGGTTCTTTTTGCAGAAACAGCAACAACAACAACAAAAACCCATCCTAAAATTCATATGGTATCAGAATGGACCACAAATAGCCAAAACAATCTTGAAAAAGGGCAAAGTTGGAGGAATCACACTCCAGATTTTGAAGCTGCAGAGCTACAGTGATCAAGACAGTGTGGTACTGGTATAAAGACAGACATTTAGATCAGTGGAATAGAACAGAGCCCAGAAATAAATCCACACATATGAAATGATTTTTGACAATGTTGCCAAGACCATTCATGGAGGAAAGGACAGTTTTTCCAACAAATGGTGCTGGGAAAACTGGATATCCAAATGCAAAAGAATGAATTTGGGCCCTACCTCACACCATGTTCAAAAACTAACTCAAAGTGAACCAAAGGCTAAATGTAAAAGCTAAAACTACAGAACTCTTAAAATACAGGCATAGGGGCACCTGGGTGGCTCAGCCGTTAAGCGTCTGCCTTCAGTTCAGGTCATGATCCCAGGATCCTGGGATTGAGCCCCACATCGGGCTCCCTGCTCAGCAGGGAGCCTGCCTCTCCCTCTCCCACTCCCCCTGCTTGTGTTCTGGCTCTCGCTAACTCTCTCTCTGTCAAATAAATAAATAAAAGCTTAAAAAAATATATAGGCATAAATCTTCATGATCTTGGAGTAGGCAGTGGTTTTTTTTTAGATATGACATGAAAAGCACAAGGAATAAAAGATAAATCAAGGGCGCCTGGGTGGCTCAGTTGGTTAAGCGACTGCCTTCAGCTCAGGTCATGATCCTGGAGTCCCGGGATCGAGTCCCGCATCAGGCTCCCTGCTCGGCGGGGAGTCTGCTTCTCCCTCTGACCCTCTTCCCTCTCGTGCTCTCTATCTCTCATTCTCTCTCTCTCAAATAAATGGGTAAAATCTTAAAAAAAAAAAAGATAAATCAAGACTTAAAACTTTGTGCTTCAAAGGACACCATCAGGGAGTGAAAGAACAACTCACAGAATGGGAGAAAATAATTGTAACTCATATATCTGAAAGGAAGTTGTGTCTAGGATATAATAAAGACTCTTGACAACTCAGTAATAAAAAGGACATAGTTTTAAAATGGGAAAAGATCTGAATAGACACCTCACCAAAGAAGATACACAAATGGCAAATGAGCTGAGCAAATGAAATGTTGCTCAACGTCATTTGTCATTAAGGAATTGTAAATTAAAACAGCAAGATTCTGCTACACACCAATTAGAATAGCTAAAATCCGAAACACTTAAAATACCAAATGCTGGTGAGGATGTGGAACAACAGAACTGATTTATGGCTGGTGAAAATAAAAGATAGTGTAGCCACTTTGGAAGTTACTATATGAATCTATGATTCTGTTAACGTGAAATGTCCAAAATAGGCAACTCCATAGAGACAGAAAATAGATCAGTGTTTTCCTATGGTTGGTGGAGAGTTGGAAGGAAATATGGGTGGGGAGACTTAAAAGTATGGCCTTCTTTGGAGGGACGATGAAAATGTTCTAAAATTGTGGTTATGGTTACACAACTATGAATATACTAAAAACCATTGAATTGTATATCTTAAATGGGTCACTTACATGGTATACAAATTATAGTAAAGCTATTACAAAACCAAAATAATGCATTAAATTTTATGTGTTAGTATAGAAAAGGCCTTTGGAAGAATTCAAAAAATTGAGTGGGAGCTTTGATGTTACCACAGTTAGAGTAGCAGTGCATAAAATATACTCAATCAAACATTTAATTAATGAGTACTCATACAGACCTTTTCTTTTGACCTCAAGGTCCCTGAGCAGCAGCCCATTACTTTGTGTAGTGGGGTTGAAGATACAAAGCATTATGAGGAAGCCAAGAAATGTGTAGAAGAATTAGCATTGTACCTGAAACCACTCAGCAGTGCTAGAGGTAAATCAGATGCAACTATCCATGCTAAACATGTTTATTAAAGATGTTTTTATTATCATAAAAATTGTGGGCTATGGGGGGGCCTGGGTGGCGTGGTCAGTTAAGTGTCTGGCTCTTGGTTTCGGCTCAGGTCATGATCTCAGGGTCACGGGATTGAGCCCCGTGTCAGACTCTGTGCTCAGCTCAGAGTTTACTTGAGTTTCTCTCTCCCTCGGTCCCTCCCCCTCCTCTCTAAAATAAATAAATATTTTATTGTACTTATTTATTTATTTTTTTAAGATTTTATTTATTTATTTGAAGGAGAGCGACAGAGATAGCAAGAGAGAGAGCACAAGCGGGGAGGAGAGGGAGAAGCAGGCTCCCCACTGAGCAAGGAGCCCAACACGGGGCTGGATCCCAGGACGTTGGGATCATGACCTGAGCCAAAGCAGACACTTAACCAACTGAGCCACCCAGGCGCCCCATAAATAAATCCTTAAAAAAATTGTGGCCTCTAAGTGAATGCTAATGAAATTCACTTATTTATTGTAAATCAAACCCACAAACACTAAATAATATCATTACAAACCACATCAAATAAGTGAATTTAGAGTTTATGTGATGTTGGAAACATTTGAATGAGTTGCAAAACTAAGTGAATATACTAGTGGTTTCAGAAGGGCTCTCCATCATTTGACAACTCTGGATTGTCTGCCTTCTATTCAGTTTTATATGGTGTGCCATAGGGAGTGAAATAAAATTGGAAGTTGCCCTTAACTGCCTTGCCATTATGGCTTATTATTTCATTAGGAAGGTAAAATTAACCATTATGAAATAATACGCCAGAACTGTTAGGACCTCAAGATTTGAGTCTTAAACTAATTATTAGTGTTGTCTGGCCTTTTCCCCTTTTTCCTCCATGGTGAATAATGATACATTAAATGTTGTAATGAGTGTTATATTTACATGAGATAACAGCTTTTGTATACTTTTAAAATGCAAACTAGGCTTTATATAATTTTATCCATTGTTTATTTTAAACATTCTAGTAGAACTGGGAACTATTCATGTATGTGTAAATCAGTCAACCCATCAGAGGAAGTTTTTCTGGACTCTAAAATTGCATTGTAAACCTAGAAATAACCTTTTATTCTCTTTTAAGGAGTGGGTCTGAATAGCACTACTCAGAGTGTTCTGAGTCGCCCAATGCAGAGGAAGCTGGTGACTCTGGTCCACTGCCAACTAGTGGAAGAAGAAGGCAGGATTCGTGCTATGAGAGCAGCTCGATCTTTAGGTGAACGAACAGTTACAGAGCTCATTCTTCAGCACCAGAATCCTCAGCAACTCTCCTCTAATCTTTGGGCAGCAGTCAGGGCTAGGGGCTGCCAGTTCCTTGGACCAGGTATGTGATTAAAGTTTGATATTTACTATACTAGTAATTCTAAAAGTATGGTGTTAAGAACTATAAATGTGATGTACAAAGTCTAGTTCTTTGTAATATTCTGTTGTTACCAAGAAATATCCCACTTGACAATCATGGCTTCGGTAATTCCATGTCGGTATTTTAGACCATGTAAAACTCTTCTCAGTGTTAAAAGTTTTCAATTTGTTAGACGTTTTTCTTGAATGTATTAATTTTTTATCTGCTTTCTTAAATAAAATATGCAGAGTGTAATGTAAAATTGCCCCAGAATGGTTAGAAAGTGTAACTGTGAATATGTGTTATTGTGTTGTGTTGCCCATCGAGTGGTACCTGCAGAAATTATTAAACATTGCCCTTCTGATAAATAAATTTATCTTATCTTTGTACATGATAAATTTTGGTTTTGCCTAACTTCCTAGCAATGCAGGAGGAAGCTTTAAAGCTGGTTCTCCTGGCCTTGGAAGATGGTTCTGCTTTGTCAAGAAAAGTATTGGTTCTCTTTGTGGTGCAAAGGTTGGAGCCGCGGTTTCCTCAGGCCTCTAAAACTAGCATTGGGCATGTTGTCCAGCTCCTTTATAGAGCTTCCTGCTTCAAGGTATGAGCTAATGTTAAATTTCAGCTTAAAAGGAAACATTGTCTTTTTCCCAAACTTAAGTAGTAAAACTTTGAGTTTAATAAAGTTGCCCCTCAGAAAATTTCAGTAATTTTTTTCTTTTCAAAAATGTAAAAAAAAAAAATGAACGTAGATGGTGTCCTATTAAAGTTAGAACTTGTTATATTAAGTTTTGTATATTAGATACTGAACAACATAGAGCAAACTGAGGTTTATAGATTTTTATATTTGAAGAGGCTAATAAGCTGTGTCATTTTTTTCACCAAAACTATATGCAGACTTGGTCTGAACAAAGAGTAATTGAAGCAAGAAGTTTCATTTTGCTCTTTGCTCCTGCTGTAATTCCACAGATAGAGTACTGGAGTTCATTTGCCATTTCATTTTCAGTGTATATAGTAATGCTGCACATATTCTTTTGTATCTCAAATTGAATCAGCACTGCCTCAAACATCAGTGCTCAGTGTGTATCATTTATCATTCATCCTGTTTTCCTGACTTCTTGATGTCAGGGCTTCTTGCTTCTGACACACACATAACTAGTACTTCATGGACCAGGGAGGCATGCCTCTAAAATTTTTTTAATTCATACAAACTATAAGGATATCCATTCCTGGGTCACCATGTCCCCTCATCTGACACTCTAAAAAATCCTACAGTATACTATAGTTTATTTTCTCATTTCCTGAGAAAGAATGGTTTACAAAATCAACAGAAAGCCTACCAGTTTATTTATATATTTTTTAAGATCTTATTTACTTATTTGACAGAGAGAGAGAGCACAAGCAGGGGGGAGTGTCAGGCAGAGGGAGAGGGAGAAGCAGGCTCCCCGCTGAGCAGAGAGCCCGACCTGGGGCTCAGTGAGCTGAAAGCAGACGTTTAACCAGGTGCCCCCAAAGCATACCAATTTAATTTAAAAAAAAATTTTAAAGCTCTATAACTAAATGCCCACATTATTATGTTTCTTTCTAGAGTCAGATTATATATATACTGAAAATGAGGTGTGCACTCCAGGTCTGTACCCAACCCTGTCCTTGGCCTTAGGTACCTCTGGAACTGTCAGAAACTCTAGCCAGAATAACTCCCAGCTAGTTCAGATTGTCCCCAAATAACTCAGATTTGTTGTAATGATTATAATAACATGATTGTACAGTGTAATCTGGAATATACTTCAGAATGTCTGTCTGCTTCCAGAGTTCTTTTTTCTCTAATAACAGCACCAGACAGACATAATATTGCAAGCTTAAAAAATAAAAGGAAAGAAAAGGAAATCCATCCTTCCCCTGTGAAAAATGAGTCCCAAAACCCCAGAATACCCACAGTGAACCTCTCTCAATCCTAATTAAAAGCATTAATAGTAATTGAAAAGAGATTGGAAATTTGTAAAAACCCAATTATTTTTCATTTGGGTCATGATTATTTCATTGTCTACCTACTTTCTTCTCTTGCTGGTAATATGTACCACAATCTCCATCATGAGAAGACTTATCTTCTCTCATCACAATAGGTCCATACCCTAAATTTCACTCACCATGGCAGAGTTTCTGTTAAGTATCTACCAATACCTATTTCATTTTCTTTGTGGAAGTCACATCGGTAGGCGTTTTCCATTCTTCCTTATAGGCTATATGTGTCCACATAGCTGTGTTCTAGCTGCATCCTTTTAGCATCTCTTTTATTTCTATTTGAAAAACCTTTTCAGGGGTGCCTGGGTGGCTCAGTCCTTAAGCGTCTGCCTTTGGCTCAGGTCATGATAAATAAATAAAATCTTTAAAGGAAAAACCTTTTCAGACGGGGATAATTCTGGTCCTTCTTAGTACAGTATAGTTCCAGGACTTACTTTAGACATGCATCTCTTAGAAATCTTTGACTGTTTTTAGTTAAAAGACAGTTTTGAGAACCAAGGCCAGGGAACCCTAGTATATCTTACAGAAAACATTCTACATTTTAATAAGGTTTAGCCTATATTGAGAGGATGTTTTTATACATCCCACATAATGCCTTTGGTATTTTGACTTGCTTTTGAATAGTGGCAAAATATATTTTGTTTTTGTGACTCTAGTTCTTTGATTTTTTTTTTTAATCTATTTGCTCTTTTTTTTTTTTTAAAGATTTCATTTATTTATTTGAGAGAGAGAATGAGAGAGAGAGAGCATGAGGGGGGGAGGGTCGGGGGAGAAGCAGACTCCCCGCTGAGCAGAGAGCCCGATGTGGGCCTCGATCCTGGGACTCCAGGATCATGACCTGAGCCGAAGGCAGTCGCTTAACCAACTGAGCCACCCAGGCGCCCAATCTATTTGCTCTTTTACGGACTTAACAAAATTTAAGTTAGACCTTCTTCTGATAAGAATGGAATACATTTATTTTTTTTATTTTATTTTTTTAAAGATTTCATTTATTTATTTGAGAGAGAGAATGAGAGAGAGAGAGCATGAGGGGGGGAGGGTCGGGGGAGAAGCAGACTCCCCGCTGAGCAGAGAGCCCGATGTGGGCCTCGATCCTGGGACTCCAGGATCATGACCTGAGCCGAAGGCAGTCGCTTAACCAACTGAGCCACCCAGGCGCCCAAGAATGGAATACATTTAAAAAATATAATCAGGATGACCTAGAAGTCTTGCTGTAGTTTTCTTTGGTGGAAGAAAAAAATGGGAATTTTCTACTAGAGGAATTTGAGTCCTTATGGGAATAAAAGGTTAACAAGGTAAAATATATTCTGAAATATGTTAGGATACAGATGATCCTGGACTAGAATTAATTATTTTACTTTGGGGGTACCCGGTGGCTAAGCATCTGCCTTTGACTCAAGTCGTGATTCCAGGGTCCTGGGATTGATCCCTGCGTCGGGCTCCCTGCTTAGTGGAGAGTCTTCTTTTTCTCCCTCTCCCTCTGCCCCTCCCACATACTCATGCACTCTCTCTCTCTCTCTCTCTCTCTCTCGCTTGCTCTCTCTCACTCTCACTCTATCTCAAATAAATGAAATCTTTAAAAAAAAAATATTCAACTTTGATTTCTTGAGCCTTTGGCCTAAACCCAGCTTGATTCAAAATGTAGCACTGTAGCAAAAATAACAATAGTACCTGCCTCAACAATTTTAGAGAATTAAATGAGTTAATGTCAGTATAATGGTAAATAAGTTAACACACTGACTAGTACATACTAAGGCTCAATAGGGTTAATAATTTTAATTACTAAAAGATATTATCATCATTACTATTTTATACTTTCTGATAGTGGCCCAGCCTGCAAAACTCTGTGGAAAATTAAGCTAAGCACAGATTAATCATCTTTAGAATCATATCAGCATCTGAATGAAGCTCTTTCAGTTAGGAGTATCAGCCAACTCAATGCCAGGCAAGCCCAAGTTTAATAATCCACAGTTATGAAGAAGAAACATACATTGGGTTTTTTTTCCAGGATAATTGCATATTTTCTTCAAGTCATTGCTTTATTTGTGTGTGTGTGTGTGTGTGTGTACATAGGTATGTATATATAAAGAAGTAGGCTCCATATCCAATGTGGGGCTTGAACTCATGCCTTGAGACCAAGAGTCACATGCTGTACTGGCTGAGCCAGACAGGTGCCTCGAGTATTTTCTTCTTTTCAAAAATGCATATCTACACATATACAGTTTAAACTCTCTGTATGTGTTAAGGTCTATCCAATCTTGGGATTTTCCTCCAGCACATACTCATTCTTTCCATAAGATCTATTCACAAGATTTTGATGTCTTTAAAGGCAGAAATGGTTTACAGGCAAAACAGTGTGTTCCATTTTAATCTTGTTATTGTTGTTAAACTTGGTATATTAAAAATTATCTGTTCTCTGTATGTGCTCATATAAAGTATAAACTCATTTTGTTTCTTAACCTGACTCATGAGATTATGTGTGTCTTACTAGGTCACCAAACGTGATGAAGACTCTTCTTTGATGCAGCTAAAAGAAGAATTTAGAACCTACGAAGCTTTGCGGCGAGAACATGACTCCCAGATAGTGCAAATTGCCATGGAAGCAGGCTTACGAATTGCACCAGACCAATGGTCCTCTTTACTTTATGGAGACCAGTCTCACAAGTCTCATATGCAGTCAATTATTGACAAGGTAGTAGACCCTTTTTTGTTCCTTACTTCTTGGACTAATCTTGGGAGTTTTGGTAATTCATGACTTAGTAATTTATTTAATAAATGTATGTTAAAGTGAATACTATATGTCAGGCTCTTATAAATTACATTATCTGTAGCTAACTATCATAGCTTGTCACATAGTAATACCAGTTTGTTTATATAAGGGTTTTTTTTTTTAATTAATGTATAATTGACATCGTTCATATAAGATTGGCTAGCGTTATAATAGTTTATCCGGCACACTCTAGTTTATTTTGAGTCTTCCGTCTCTATTATTGTTGCTTCTCTCCCTTTCTTGTTTTGTTCCCTGAGTTTTAATCGTTGTGTTAATTAAACCCATTTTCTAAATGCCTTTATTGTCTTCCTGTAACAGTCATTCAGTGTTCTGGAGAATATATACATTGAGGTTTCTTATGATTCTTAGCCACAGTAATTCCACATAATAAGTTACCAATCATTCTAGGTTTGATCAGATTTTCAATAAACTTATTTCTACTTTATCTCTTCTTTGTTATGATAAAAAGATCACTAGAGTACACATGGTCAGGCTCCATTGTTTGTTGCTGGCTCTAAGTGCTATATTTAATTCTATTAAAACTAGGATAATCCTATAATTGTTTTTGTTATAATTCAACATGAAGTATATGAAAGTATAGGAAGTCTTAAAGCACCATGTAAATATATATGTTATGATAGCATTAACTTTTACTATTTTACCTTAAATACTTACAACTAGAGAGATGATTATACTTTAGAGTCCACCCACATTTAATTTAAAGAAATAAGATCAAGATGTAAGGGTAGATCAAATATAATACTATTTAACACTTACTGAGAGTTTACTGGTGCCTGGTTGTTTTAAATAATCCATTTAATCCTTTCAATAACCTTGTATTGTCCCAGGGAGATAGATTAAGTACATTTCTCCAGGATCACATAGGTAACAAGTGACAGGGCTGGATTTGAAGTTGGGTCTACTGACTCTAGAATCCATGTTCTTAACCACCAAATCTTTCCAGACTATTCTGTCGCTTTTTGTTATTCCCAAGAAAGGATTATTTGAATGAATAGTGTATTGATGTCAAAGGACAATTGGGGAGTGTGTTTTATATGCTTGTTACATAATTTTCAGTATAATGTATATTGTTTTGTCCTATAAATCTTTTCTAGATACCTTTGCCCAAACTTTACCTGCAACTCCTAGGCCTGAAATTATGCAACTAACTGATTATAATGTATTGAAACCTTAGTAATGGTCTCTTAAAGAAGTAACTTTCTACCTCTGAAGAGAAACTTGGCTTGCTTTTATAAAGATTCTACAAGCAGGTTGACCTTTTTGTGTGAACTAGACTATATAATTTATCCTGTAACAGTATCTTCACATCATGAGCAATAGTTTGAATTTAATATCCAGAGACCTTCTTACAACAAACTGGTAAACTTTGCAGTATATGTGGCATCTTATTATCTAGAGCAGTATAATTTTCTGTGGTAGTGAAAATGTTCTATATATGCACTGTCTAATATGGGGATCACTAGCCGCCCACGGCTGTTTAGCACTCAAAATGTGACTGTGCAACTGAAGAGCTACATTTTTATTTTATTAATTTTAACTTAAACAGCCACATACTGCTAATGGCTACTGTGTTGGACCTTACAGAGAACTTACTAAAAGTGATATGAAAAGCAATAATCATAGTAAATTAATGGATAAACACGAATTATCAGTTCACAAAGAAGAAACATATGTAATTGATAGGATAGAATTCAGCTCCAGTAATAATTAAATGCGCATTTAAAACTAACATTACAAATATTGCCTATTAAATTAGCAAAAGAGACATATATTGCCATACATTGCTTATGGTTTATAAAATGCATTAGTTAAAACCTTTGGGAAACAATTTGTCAGTGAATAAAAACTCAAAATGTTCATGTCCTTTGATCAAATTTGCTATTCCCAGGAATTTATTTTAAGAAAATAATTCAAACTTTGAAAAAGGTTATGAGTTCAGAAGTGTTAATTGCTACATTATTTATCAAGTAGAAAATAAGCAGATGGTTAAAGAAGTTATCTAGATCTCTGCTCAGAACATGGTTATATGGCCATTAAAATAAGTTATTTCAAGACAGTTACTCTCTTCAGCTGATAAATAACATTCAGCTTCTTTTAAAAAAAAGTGAAATATTTTTATTAAGTATCAGTGATGGATACATGGGTGTTGTCATTATATTAGACACTTTGAAATATTTCATAATAAAATGGTTAGCAGTAGAAAATGCTTTTGTTATAATATTAATGGTAGCCAAAACCATAAGTGTGTAAATGATTTTAAGTTTATAAAAAGCATGCAAAGATGAAAAAATTGAATAAAGGCATGTTAGCATTTGAATGGTTATTTTTCATGTTTTTTAAAATGTATGCTTTTTTTAAAAAAATTACCTTTTAAAGAGTGACCTTTTAGGGGAGAAAAATTCTCATCTATAGTAATAAACTGCATAGAGAGCTAAATGTTTCCAAGTAAGAAGCTTTAGTTACTATAATCTAATCAATTTCCCCCTATTAAAGGTCCTATATGTAGGGCCTCTTAGGGGAGTTAATGTAAGAAAGTGTGTCATTAATTAAGCTTGAGGAAAATATACAGCCTGATAGCTTCCAAGAATCCCAAACCATTATAAGATTTTTTTTGAGCTGGAGTGGACTTCGGAAATTATGTAGTCCGTATCACAGATGGACTTCCGATTGAGTCCGTAAAGATTATATCTGGTGTCATGATTTGTGGTCTCTAACAGAACTTGAGCTCAAGCTCCGTTTGACTGAGTTCAGTTTCATTGTTCTTGGTATTGTATAGTGTTATCTCTAGACTACAAATTGCAGTTCTTTGGAAGCACTCCAAGAGCCAAACTAATACAGTGCGTAATACGGAAAGAGTATACTTCCAAATTGAGGAATTGAGAAAGGCCTCACATTTGAGGAATGTGCCATCAGAGGGAAGAGAGTTTACAATCTGCCAAGCTGTGAATGCAGGGAAGTGCAGGGTTTGCTCAGGCACCAGTAATCCAGTCTGGCCAAAGCCTGGAATGTGTGGGAGGATAAAATTAAATATAATAAGTTGCAAAAATGATTGCAATATTGTAAATAATCTTTACTTTAAAAGGATTAGCTGGTTTTTGGAAAGTTAATAGTTATCTTTTTTAAGTTGCAGACCCCAGCCTCTTTTGCACAAAGTGTTCAGGAACTAACAATTGCTCTCCAGCGAACTGGAGATCCAGCAAATTTGAACCGACTAAGACCCCATTTGGAGCTATTGGCAAACATTGACCCTAGTCCAGGTAAATAAACCCAAGGGAAATTAATGGCCTGTCCTGTGTCTCAGTGCTGCTCAGTGATTCTTTTTTTTTTTTTTTTTTAAGATTTTTTATTTATTCATTTGTCAGAGAGAGAGAGCACAAGCAGAGGGAGAAGCAGGCTCCCTGCTGAGCAAGGAGCCCGATGCGGGACTCCATCCCAGGACCCCGGGATCATGACCTGAGCCGAAGGCAGACGCTTAACCGACTGAGCCACCCAGGCGTCCCTGATTCTTTTAATTAATTATCTTTTGTTACATTCCTTGAGAATTTCCCCTTTACACAGTATTTAAGTTTCTGCCCCAGCCTTGTCCATCTATCTGTTTATTGCTTCAACCAGGATTTATTTAAAACCTTTGTACTTCCTGCTCACTTCACCAGGGAAGTAGATTCCCTCTGGGATCCTTCTCATATCACAGAATTGTGCTGTATTTACTATTCTCATCTATTTTGACAAAACACAGGTTCTCTAATTTTTTCTGTATCCTATGTCCTTAGTTGCATTTTCTTGGTCCCATTTTTTCCCCCACTCTGTGATGATAATGTCTCATTCATCAAGTAGCCTCTCTTGCATATTTTTACTTTGTCAACCCTTTTCTTGCTCCTCGCCCTTAACCTGAAAATCACCCAACTTTCATTTTTCACATCTAAGGTATTTTTAGCTTGTGTCCTGCACCTGAGCTAAAAAACTCCTAACATTCACAAGTAATTTCCCAGTTTCGAATTCCAAAGGTGGTTTCTCAGTCCTCAAATTACTTGATTTTTCTTTAGCATTTGTTAATGTTGTCGGCTAATTCCTCAATATAGAAACTCTCCTGATACCTTATCTTTCTGTACTCTCATAGTTTCCTTCTGACTTGTCTAAATGCTGCTTCTGTCTTATTTTGACCCCTCTTCCCTCCTGCCCACTAAGGAGTAGGCCAGTTGTGTTCTTGGAATTTTGAGTTTTTTGCATTCTATTGATGATGGTCATTCATTCCCAGCACTGGGTATCCCTTTCTGTAGAAAATAGACTCCCCAATATCTCTATCATTGTTGTCTCTTCTCTTCATCACTCCAGACTTACTTTCCCAAATGCTTTCTGAGAGTCTTCATCATCTCCTCTGTTCTTCAAAGCAAATTCTTCTTCACTTGATACCAGCTTGTCCTCCTGTGTTCTCTGTTAAATGACCTCATTGTCTGAGGTATTTACACTTAAAACCCGAGTCTCTTGTCTTAGCTTGTATCTTTTCCTTTTACTTGCTCTACATACCATTTCAGACAACAGGATCTATCTGTTCTTTCACAATATCCCTCTATCCTATGCTGGTTAATACTGCATTGGTGAGGGCCTTATTTTTCCTGAGACTGGATGCCTTCCATTTTCCTCTATTCTCAATTCTTTCAGTCCAGCCCACTTACTGCTGCAAAATAAATCACATCTCTGATCTTATGTCTGTGCTTATAAACTTTCAGTAACACCCCATTGCTTATTGAATAAGGTTTGGAACTCTTGACAGTGGCATTCAGGGCCCTCTTAATTTTTTATTTTATTTTATTTTTTTTTATCAATCTACCTTTATAGACTTTACTATCAATGGGGCACCTGGGTGGCTCAGTCAGTTAAGCTCAGGGTCCTGGGATCAAGCCCTGCATTGGGCTCCCTGCTCAATGGAGAGCCTGCTTCTCCCTCTCCCTCTGCTGCTCCCACTGCTTGTGTGCTCTCTCTGTCTTTCTCTCTCTTTCTCAAATAAATAAAATCTTAAAAAAAAATTTTACTATCAAAATTGTTATCAATTTACTATCAAAACCAGGTCAGATGTATTCCTAGAACGCAGTTGACATTTTTCTTTTTTCACTATTGTGCTTTGCTCATTCTGGAATCAAAAGAGCACTTCCACAAGTTCACCACACCATCAATCACCAACCTGTTTATCTGTATCTGTGCCAATATAGTCTGCAATCCTTGTGTAACAGTGGATAAGCTGTACCTCTAAGCTAAGGCCCCTCTCCCTTCTCATGTTCCTAATATCATCTTGTCAAGTATATCACTTCATATCACTTCTGTTTCTTATATCATCAAGTTTCCTTCTCTACTGGAGTATTTCTGTCAACATACAAACATCCTATTACTCCTGTCATCATAACCCACTTGGACAACATTTGCCATCCGCCTACTACTCTGTTTTTCTCCTTTTTTTTAAACATGCTCTCGAACTCACTCCAATCAGGCATTTATCTCTACTGTCAACCAAAACTGTTCTGTCAAGGTCACAGGTGACTTCCATGAAGTTAAATCCAGACATCAGTTCTTGGTTCTCATTTATTTGACCTGTTAGCAGCATTTAATGTTGTTGTTCACTTTCTGATCCTCTTAACACTTTTTTCACTTGACTTTCCTAGTTTCCTTCTCATTTTATTGGACCCTCTGCTGAGCCTTCTAATTTCTCATCTCCATACCCTCTCACTTTTGGATTGCTCCCAGAGTTTAATACATGTATCTCTTTTCTAATTATACCCATTCCCTAGCTAATATCATCTAGTCTCATAGCTTTAAATATTATTTACATGACTCACAAATATACTATATTTCATCAGTTCTGAAGCCCACATTTCTTTCGATCTTAGCATTTCTGAAATTGGGATGCATCTATGTAAGTAATGATGTGTAATTTAATTAATCTTTTTTTATTTTGGTGGCACATAAAAGAATGGTGTATGTTGCAGTTGATTTAGAATCCATGAAACGTAGTATATCCAGCCCCAAAACTTCTTCCTGAATTCTTTTGTATATCCACCTGCCTGCTCAACATCCAGCAGGCCTACTTGAATATCTAGTAAGAATTTCAAACTTAGTGGCGCCTGGGTGGCTCAGATGGTTAAGTGTCTGCCTTTGGCTCAGGTCATGGATCTCCAGGTCCTGGAATTGAGCCCCATATTAGGCTCCCAGCTCAGTGGAGAGTCTGCTTCTCCCTCTCCCTCTGCCTCTCCCCCTGCTTGTCCTCTCTCTGTCTCTTTCAAATGAATAAATTAAAACATCTTTAAAAAAAAAAGAATTTCAACCTTAATCTGTCCAAAAGTGAGTTCCAAACACTGCCCTCACCCCACCTCCCATTCCTTTTGGTGGCAACTACAACCTTCCATTTCATTTCCTCAGTCCAAACACCTTGGAGAGCTCTTCAACTCTTCTTTCTCACATGTGGTACATCTGATCCAATAGCATACCCTGTAGGCCCTTGCCTTTAAAATCCATCTAGAATGCGTCTGCTTATCACCTTCACTACTACCATCCTCATCTCTCTTCAGGGATTACAGAAGAGCCTCCTATTGTCTGTCTGGTTTTAGCATAAGAGCTAGAGTGATCCTGTTACCCGTCTGCTCAAAAATTCTCCAGAACTGACTGAGCCCTGGGTTGGGGGCTCCCAGCATGGAGTCGGCTTCAGATTCTCCCCCTTTCCCTGCTCACATAACATGCGTGCGCTCTCACTCGCTCATTCTCTAAAAATAAATAAAATCTTGAAAAAAAAAATCTCCAGTGCTTTCCATTGTTCAGTAAAAGCGAAAATCTTTCCTATGACCTACCAAGCCTCATGTGATCTGGGGTTCTTTACCTCTTTCTAAGCTTATTTCCTATTCTTTTCTACCTAATTCATTCCTTTCCAGTTTGACCTCCGTGGAACATGCCAGGCATATTCCCACATCAGGGCTTTTCCACTTATTCTTTTCTTTTCCTAGAACATTTTTTTCCTAATATATCCACAAGGCACGCTCATTCCCCTTCTGTTTTCAGGTCTTTAATCAAATGTACCCTTTTCAAGGAGACATTCTCAGGCCACCCAGTCTAAAATTTTATACATACCGGTCCCACTCCCTTTCTTTGCTCTGTTTATTCAAGTCATCATTATATAAATTGTTTATATTTCGATTATCTTATTTATTGTCTGTCTCCTCTCCTTGGATATAATGGTTTTTTGTTTTGATCACTGTTGCTTCCCTAGCAACTAGAACAATACCTGGGACTTAGTAGGTGTTCCAAACAGTACTTTTTTGTATGACTCTTCTCTTCACCCTCTCTATATCTTAATTTTTTTTTCCAAGTGAAACTCCCAAGTGAAAGTCCTTCAAAGCCTCATTCACAGCCATCACCTAGAATTCTCTCAGAGTGTCTCCAAGAGGAAGTCATCTCTATGTTTGTGTTCTCACTTCTTTTTATATTTTCCCCTAGAGAACATTTCATATTTGTGGTTAACTTTTCCTTTATAAAATCACAGCACTGACACTAGGCAAATATTAAATGAAGAGGATATATAGCAGAGTTGCTTTATATAGTGACTCTTCATTCAGACTTTTTTTTTTTTTTAATATTTTACTCATTTATTTGACAGAGAGAGCACAAGCAGGGGAAGTGGCAGGCAGAGGGAGAAGCAGGCTTTTTAAACATTCTGTTTACCAAAACTTCATTTATGCAGAATTTCAAAATGGCCATTACAAATTGGCTAGTCCACAGTTAAGTTTTGTTTGGTCCACGTAGCGTTGGTCTGCACAATATTCTAAATTTTTTAGGTAAAACTTAAAATTGGTAGTTTTACATGAAAATCTCAAATTTTAGTTTTCCCTGGGAAACAGCGGTGTATCTGGAGTGCCAGCCTTGCATCATCACGTAACAACAATCAGCTAAAGATGAGTAGTAACCATAACCTTAGATGTGGGCCACACTCTACAGTTGAGCACAGACCCTGTCTCTGTCTCTCTGTCATCATTCCCAGCACTGAGTGTCTAATGGTGGTTGCTATTTATTGTCTAATGGTGGTTGCTATTTATTGTCTGGCCTACTTAATTTCTTTATGCTACCTTCCCTCTCCCTGTAGTTATTTTAGTTTACAATCCATTCCTTAAAATGATGTTTAGGTGTGAATACATTATTACCTGAAAAGCTGTATGAAGCCTGACTTGATTTCACTGAAGGGCTGACACTAACCCTTTTGTTAGTTTAATAATATTGGGCAAAATACTGAATAACATCATTTAAAAAGTTTTTTAATTTGTTGTGTAGATGCTCCTCCTCCTACTTGGGAGCAGCTAGAAAATGGGCTGGTTGCTGTGCGGACTGTGGTACATGGGCTAGTAGACTATATCCAGAACCATAGCAAAAAGGGAGCAGATCAACAGCAGGTAAGGGGGAAGTTGGAAACTTAGAAGTAAGTCACTGTGGATGTTATGACAGATACAAACAAAACCAACAAGATGACATGAATATTTTGAGACTCTGACTGTAGAAACTAAATTAGTTTAATATGGTTTACAGCCAGCTTCATGGATTAGTGTAGTGATTTTATCTGGCAACAATGGAATGAAGTAATCCTGTTGGTCTAATGTTGCACTGGAGTCATTTTTCACTTTGGATATATAGCAGCATTTGATTCTGTGCTAAAGGTTTCTATGTTAAGTAAAATGATTCTCCTCGGTTACTGTTACATTTTAGTTTGACAATATATATCACTTTTTAATGCTGTATCTGTCCAGTACTGTTCATATATTTGTAAATGCTTTTTCTGTAGTATTAACATTTTTCATTCATATAATGTCTGCTGTGCAAGCGGGCCAAATTTTCCTCAAATACTTTTAAATGAAATATCTGACAGTAAAACGTAATTGCTTATGTTATGACTACAGTTTTTCATTTTATTCCCAATAACTTTATTTTGCCCTGGGGATTTATGTTAGGTTCACTAGATCTTTTATTTTGCAATAGTAAGCTTGTGAAATTAAAACCTTGTTATTAATTTGTCTGGTTCAGGTAAATATTAAAAATAGATTATTCAATATTTCTTTTTTCTTTGAGAGGCAAGAAACATTAAGTTCCATTCAGTATCCTGCTGAGTAGGGGGGCGCCTGGCTGACTTGGTAGAGCATGCGACTCTTGATCTCAGGGTTGTGAGTTCAAGCCCCCACGTTGGTTATTACTTAAAAATAAAATCTTTTTTTTTTAAGAAAGTATCCTGCTGAGTAGAATAATATGGATACAGTTTTCCTAAATTATCTAAGCATAGACCAGATTTTATTTTATGATAAGAAATAAAAGATTAAAAACTTATTTTTAATTCCATGTTCTATTAGACATCATGAAGAATGTAACAATAATAAGATTAATCTTTTAAGTTCTGTTGATAGGTGATAAAATGGTAATCGAATCGATAGGTAATCAAATTTCATTTAGCTTAGTATTGTGTTTGATATCTCATTAACCCCCAAGTCCATCCTTCTGTCTTATACTAGAAAATAATAGTTTCATTTGTACTTCTTGAGATACTGTATGTCCTTGATATATTCTTCTGCATACCAAGAATTGGTTACAGAGTATTTTTCATTTATAGAGCCTACTATAGATTCGTGTTGTGTCATAGGAAACTCTGATTGTAAATATAGCTATACTAAACATTGTCCAAAACAAATATTAGAACACATATTAAACATTGGAAAGCCCTAAACTCCAGTGGTTTGTTTGTCCCTTATAAACCTGGAAAGAAAATGATAAAGCCGTCGTGAGATTTAATCTAGGATTTATATGATGCCACGTGTTTGAGAGTTAATGCCAGTATATCAAAAAATCTGGACCCTGTTCTTTTTCATTAATTTATTTTTGGACTCAGACTTCAGACAGAATGGCTTTCTAACACTTTTGCTCTGGGCAATCTAGTTAATTGTGTGAGTTAGTTTGAATCGGTGTATAATGTTTTGACTTTGGTCTCAGCCTCCACAGCATAGCAAATATAAAACATACATGTGTCGAGATATGAAGCAGAGAGGAGGATGCCCTCGTGGGGCCAGCTGTACATTTGCACACTCACAGGAGGAACTGGAGAAGTAAGTGTGAAAGTTGTTAAACTCAACCTTCTAATAACTTGTTATGAAATAAGGTAGAGTTACTAAGTAGAATAATTTGCCACTGTTAGGAAACAGAAAAGGAGCAGTTGCATGCTCTTTAATGAATGGGAAATGTTTAGAAAGTAATACAGATTTTTTTAAAAAGAAAACTGAAGTAGTTTCTTCAGCTTTCATTATATCGTGCCCACAAATAGGAAACTAAATATAGAAGTGAATCATTTGCACTACCAAAAAAAATTAAAAATCTAAAAATTTTCATCAATTTTAAGGATTTTAACTAATTGAATAATGTATTTCCAATTGAAAAATTTGCCCTTTGCTCTGTTCACGAAATTATTTTATTGACAGGTGTAACTTCACAGATTTTCTTTTAAATTTTGAAGATCAGGGGCACCTGGGTGGCTCAGTTGTTAAGCGTCTGCCTTCGGCTCAGGTCATGATCCCAGGGTCCTGGGATGGAGCCTCACATCGGGGCTCCATCACTCCACAGCGAGTCTGCTTCTCCCTCTCCCACTCCCCCTGCTTGTGTTCCCTCTCTCTCTGTCTCACTCTCTGTCAAATAAATAAATAAATGAAATCTTTAAAATAAAATAAATTTTGAAGATCAGATAATTCCAGTGTTAAATTTTCCAGCATATAGTAGCAAGAAAAGAAAACCTCTTAATTTTTTTTATAAAGCCAGTGTAACATTGCCCCCAAACTTGACAAAGATAGCACAATTAAAGAAAATAAAAATCCATCTCACATATTAATATTTTAAAAATCCCAAATATTAGCATTCAGTAATATGTTAAAGTAGACACCGTGAAGTGCAAAGGTAACACAATATAATTACTTTAGGGTTAGAGAAGAAATACCATGTGATCATATGCAAAGATGCCAAAAGGCATTTGAATAAAATCAGATGTTCATAATAGATCACAATTCTTTAATAGAAGAAAGCTGTCGTAGACACTTGCTCAACATAATTGTATCTCAAAAACTAGTATAACTGCATGATGCTCAATTTGTAAAATAGTAGATTCAGTCTCATTGAAGTTGACAGTAAGGCAAAATTTAGCAGTAGTGAGACTATTATTGAACATTCTAGGAGCAGTAGCCACTGTACATACCAAAGAATAAAATTGTCATAAAATCATTACATGGAAAAATTCAAGAAGTACTAGAAACAAAAGAAATGAAAATTTTAGCAAATCAAAAATACTACTTTACAGAAATGAATTGCTCTCATATAAACTAAAAAGGGAAACATAACCAGTTATAGAGTAAAGGAAAATAAAGATCTCTTTGGCATTACCACCAACAACAAAAAAGATAAATACCAAATAATAAAGTAACAAGAACTATTGAGGATTGAATTAGTAAGCTACCTACTCACATAAGCGAAGAACTGAATAAATGAAGAAGCATACTGTGTTCTTGGAAAAGACTTAACCATTATATAGGTTTTATCTTCTCTTAAACAATAAATTCAGTGAAATCTCAATTAGAATCTTAACATGATGATTGTTAGGACCTAACAAAATCCTTAACTGGGGAAAGTAAATACATACAAATGGCCAGAAAGTTTCTGAAAAAATAAGTTTTCAACGGATTAAGCTAACAACTATTAAGGTGTATTATGAGCTGCAGTGCACATAAAGACTGTGGTATTAAGCATAGGAACAGATAGATCAATGAAATATGACGGAAAATCTAGAAAGAATGCCAGACACAATAGGAACTGAGTGTTGTGCTGAAGGTGGCATTTCACCTCAGTAACAAAGAAGATGACATTGAAACAACTGCTGTCCGTTTGAAAAATAATTAGAACTCAATTCTTACCTTTATATCAAAATGAATTATAAATGCATTAGAGATTTAAATCTTTAAGAAGGAAACTGTACTTAAAGATCTTTTCTGTTGTTACTTAATCTTACAAAAGTAAAGAATTTTTGAAAGACAACCCAATATTCGTAAAGGAGAAGATTGATAAATATGATTATGTAAAAAACCTAAGATGTGGCCCAAACACCACAATTACAAAAAAAAAGATTCGTGGGGAAATGACATACAGAGGACTGACATTCCTAATATAAAATGAGTTACTACAAATCTATAAGAAGAACCGGTAAATACACGGATCATGAACAAATAGGCAGTTCACATAAGAATTAAAAAAAAAAGTAAAACAATGTCAACTTCATTGATTGTTAAATACAAATTAAAACAAAATGATATTTTCAGGGGCAGCTGTGTGTCTCAGTCGATGAAGCATAGGACTCTTGTTTTCTGCTCAGGTCATGATTTCAGGGTCCTGAAATGGAGGGGCTGGGGTGTCAGGCTCCCCGCTCTGCCGGAAGTCTGCTAATCCCTCCACCCCACCCTCTATCCTGCCTCTGTGCATGCATGTGCATGTGTGTTGTGCACGCTGTCTTAAAATCTTTTTAAAAAATGATAATTTGAACTGAAAAATTAAGAGGGACTGTGATACTGCCTAGTGTTTGATGAGATAAGGGAAAAGGACATTTATTATCATTAGGAGTTATAATAGTTTTAGAGCATTGTAAGAGTTTCTAATGTGCATACGTTAGACTTACAATTCTGCTTCTGGTTAGTCATTTAGTCACACAAGGATGCAAGTACATGTACATAAGCATCTGTTACTGCATTGTTTTAATAGCAAAAAATTAGAAACAACTTAAAATGTACTGACATAAAGGAATATCCAAGTTACAAAATAGAAGAAGTTACTAAGCAGTCATATATGACCCTATTTCTGTTAATAATGGTCTTACATTTAATATTAAGGCGCATGGTATGGAGGGGAAAATCTGTATGATTATGTACCAGACTGTTAACAGGGGTTACACCTAAGGAGTAGTGTCTCCTCTCCGCCCCTCTGAAATTTGTTAAATATGGGAAACATTTGGAAAAATAGCATTATTCTTATGGGGGGGTTGTCTTTGAGATTATTTTTTAAAGTGTCCTAGCAGGTGTAAATAGATTTGCTTTCACTGTTGAGGAACAAGGGTACTAGAGTTGGATGGCTTAATATTATTCCTGTGGTTAGATTTAGAATCTACATGCATTTTATACCGCAATGTCTGTTTAAATTTAGGCATTATTCTGTATTGTATATATTAATCCACTTTTAAAATAATTTTAATTTTGGGTGGGCACACATAGCATCAGCATCTCTGAATCATATCTGATACAAAGTACTCTTCTTAATTTAAAAATTTTAATGGAATAAATGGTAAATTTTTCTCTGCACACTGGCTTTTTGTTTTATTGTGAATTTATAATATAGGCTAACTGTATCCTAAGGCATTTGAGGGAAAGCTAAAGTAAGATATTTCAGAAACTGTCTTCTAAAGATGTTTCTCCCCCCTCCAATGTTTCAGAAATAGAAATTACAGTAAAAGTAAGTTATAATGCAGATATTAATTAGCATGATTTGTAGTGTTAACAAATTCTCATTATAAGGAATTTTATACTTAGTGTGTTGCCTGAGATTTTGTAGTGTCTACACACACAAGTTTTCAAGTTGATAGCTACAGCCAGTGTTTCAAGAGAATTTCTAGAAAGTAATGTTCGTAGTAGCTTTTCCTTTGTATCTGTTTTTCAAATACATTTTAGTTCTTGGTTTTGCTTTTATAATTTTGGGTTTTGGTGTGTGACTTTGCTTTCTATATAGGTTTCGTAAAATGAACAAACGCCTAGTTCCCAGAAGACCCCTGAGTGCCTCTTTGGGTCAGCTTAATGAGGTGGGCCTGCCTTCAGCAGCTGTCCTTCCAGATGAAGGTGCAGTGGATCTGCCTAGCAGAAAAACCCCTGCTCTGCCAAATGGAATTGTATCAGCAGGGAATACGGTAACACAGCTGATTCCCCGAGGGACAGACGCCACCTACGATTCTAGCCTCAAGCCAGGAAAGATAGATCATCTGAGCAGTAGTGCCCCTGGATCCCCTCCTGACCTGTACGTCATTTTTCCTTTTATTTAAAGTTAGTATGGGAAGTAGAGGGAAGAAAGAAAAATCAGTGTTTTATTAAAAAAAAAAAAAACAGCCACACTTCATTTTTGGCTTTATTTTGTTCTTTATTTCCTGTGCTAGTGATTTTTAAGAAATAATTAGTGTAAGTGAAATAAGATCAAAGTTTATGGAATTTGTAGAAGAAATGACTATTGTGGAAAAGAACGTATTCCGAAATTAAGGCTTTTTTTTTTTTTAACATTTAGTAATTTGTGTATATTAGAAGTATTTTTGAGACCTTAAACTTGACTTGTAGAATCTTACTCCTTTAGGCTAGAATCTGTCCCTAAGAGTATTTCTGCCTTACCTGTGAATCCACATCCTGTACCTCCAAGGGGGCCGACAGACTTGCCTCCTATGCCTGTCACCAAACCACTTCAGATGGTACCACGAGGTTCTCAGTTATATCCAGCACAACAGGCAGATGTTTATTATCAGGATCCTCGAGGAGCTGCGCCACCATTTGAACCAGCACCTTATCAGCAGGGTAATGATCTTTTGTTTATGTTGCTCTCTTTTCTTAGGAGTTATGAGAACAGTTCCAAGAAAGTGATCATATTTGCAGCAGCCTCAAGATAAATAAATGCGTTTATGTAATACTTTAGAAAAAGTAGAGATTTTATGATCAACTAAATAGTATAAAATAAGTGAACTAACAGGTATATAAAGCAAACTTCCCATTACTGGAAGCTAGTTATATATTAAATATGTGGATATATTTATGGAAATAACAAGTGACCCAAGTGGACAGTAGAAATTTGCTTAACTAAGGCAGTATATATTTTCCTGACCAAAATTTTCTTTGAGCGTGAAAAAGAATTTAATATTACAGTGGGTATAAATTAAACACACAGTATGTTTTTCTTGCTTTCAGTTATCACCTAATATTTTTTCTGGGCCCTGTAGTATATATGAAAAAAATGCAGCATACGTACTATAGAGAGTTAATAGTGTAGAATTAATATTAGTAAAGAAATAGTAGGAGTATACGTACGTTGTGTATGTGTGTGCATATATGTGTTAAAAATTAAGCATCAGTTGTGGTTAATAATAATGTGGTAGAGATTAACTGCAAGGCTCAAGGGAGATCACTGAGAACTTGAGGAATCAAAAAGACTTAATGAAAGAATGCCCTAAATAGAAGTATGGGAATAAAAATACAAATTTATGAATGGATTGCAAGGATGACAGTCTAGAGTTGAGAAGGAATAAGGGGACTTTTGTTAAACCAGGTGTGAGTATTGAGGCCTGGATTAGTGTGGTGGGAAAGAAGAAGGAGGGATTTGAGAAAATAGTCAAATTTGAAAAATTAGCCAGCTTTAATGACAATACTAGGTATGGATAGTGAAGGAGTGGAGATGACCGAAGATTCACATATACAATTCCTGTGAAAAATAGGAACACTGATTTTTAAAGTGTTGGATCTCTGTCAGAGACCATGTGGTGCTATTATTTTTTTTAAACTGTAGTAGATTAAAGGTGTTCTCCATTTCCTTTTCCCAAGGCTGTCTTAATTTTGAATTAGAAATGTCTTCTCTACTTTCAGAAGAATAGCTTTAAATTGGTATGGCATTATTAACACATGTAAAAATGTGATGAAGGTTTTTTGTATCTTCCTTTGGCCATCCATCACAGGAAAAATTCAGCTACTTTTGTGAAGGTGACCTTAAATACACTGTGTCAGTCAAGGTCCAGTGGCAGAGATCAGAAATCATTCTTGCTGTATTAAGCAGAAAGAGGTTTAATGCAGGGAGTTTAGCTGCCTACAGAATCAGTGGAAGTACTGGAAAAGCAGGCTTAAGCTAGGCCTCCAGGAATGAGTCCCAGAAATAGCTCCTGAAAAAGCCTGTTAATAGTGAGGAAGCAGGGTGCCTGGGTGGCTCCGTTGGTTAAGCGTCTGCCTTTGGTTCAGGTCATGATTCCCGGGGTCCTGGGATCAAGCCCCACGTTGGGCTCCCTGCTCAGTGGGGAGCCTGTTTCTCTCTCTCTCCCCTTGCCTCTCCAGCTTGTGCATGCACACGCTTTCTCTCTCGTGCGTGTGTGCCTACTCACTCTCAAATAAATGAAATCTTAAAAAAAAAAAAAGTGAGGAAGCAGTAGAAATAGGAAACATGGTTCCTATCTATGCGTCAGGATCACATCACTTGAGGCCAAAGTCTGAAAATTGGGTTGCTCCTTGCTACAACTGTTGTCTCCAGAACTCCAGAGCTATGCAGCAGCAGAATAAATCTGTGTGTGCCACATTCCTTTCCAGTTCCATTTCAATTCAGATTTCATGCAAGTGATTTGTGGAACCTGAGTTTCAGGGAAATGTAGTCTTGCTTTCCAGTGTTTGCACTGCATTAAGGCACACCAGAAAGATGGTCGAACAACTGAGAGAGCCAATCTACTGTTGTAGATTATCAATAGATTCGTTTTTTCAGTGACTTTTAAGGATTAAGGTTAACTTTTATTTTTCATAAAGCTAACCTGACTACATAAGCAGAGGGGAAAACGTGAAGATATGAGTGGATTATTAATTCTTTAGTGTTGGAAGTATATTAAAAGGAAAAATATAGAAAAATAGATCAGCTTATTGTTGCTTTTGGTTCCTTTTTTGTATTGTACAGGTATGTACTATACTACACCACCACAGTGTGTATCTCGCTTTGTCAGACCTCCACCATCTGCTCCTGAACCTGGTCCTCCCTACTTGGATCATTATCCAGCCTATCTCCAAGATCGTGTAGTAAACTCTCAGTATGGCACACAGCCACAACAATACCCACCTGTGTACCCACCACACTATGATGGCCGCCGAGTATACCCCGCTCAGTCTTACACAAGAGAGGAGATTTTCCGAGAAAGTCCTATACCCATTGAGATTCCACCTGCAGCAGTACCATCCTATGTACCAGAATCCAGAGAAAGATACCAGCAGATGGAGGGTTACTATCCAGTGGCTCCTCATCCAACTCAGATCAGACCTTCGTACATGAGAGTATGCTGTTTTTTTTTATTATTATATAGATATAATTTGATTATTGGTTGCAGTGATTTACCTTTTTGCCATGGTAGTAACCCTTTGATCAATTCTTTTTTATGAGAAAGCTTCCCCCTTCCTTTTTTTTTCATCTTTTCACAATTTGGGTAGGGTTTTTTTGTTTGTTTGCTTTGGGCTTATTTTATTTTATTTTTTTTTTAACTATTAAAGGGAAAAAAAAAATATCCCACCCCACTCCCACTAACGCTTCTTAGTTTCTGAACTTTAGTTTTATTAACATTTCTAGATCTACATTTGACCCTTGAGCAATGCAGGCATTAAGGGGCGCAATGCCCCCCATGCAATTGAAAACCCATGTATAACTTTTGACTCCCCAAAAACGTAGCTACTAATAGCCTACTGTTGAGCAGAAGCCTAACATAAACAGTCAATTAACACATATTTTGTATGTTTATGTATTATATACTGTATTCTTACAATATGGTAGAGAAAAAAAAATGTTACTAAAATCGTTAGAGATAATATATTTACAGAACTGTTTTAATTGAAAAAAACCCATGTGTAAGTGGCCCTGTGCAGTTTAAGCTTGTATTGTTCAGGGGTCAACTGTATTTGAAATTACGGTCTCTGGCCAAGGAAAAGAAATTTAAATTTAGCTCTTTGGGAAAACCTCAGAGTTTTAGGGGCTTTGTTTTATTAAATCTTAGTATGTTCAAATACTGAGATGAATACACAAGCTGCTACCTATTTAAAATATGTGCTAAATGAGTTAATGTGTTCTGAAATTCTTTTTCAGTTTTTACTAATCTTTGCATTTCTAGGACCCTCCTTATAGCCGGCTTCCTCCTCCTCCTCAGCCTCATCCTAGTCTAGATGAGCTACATCGCAGACGAAAGGAAATAATGGCCCAGCTAGAGGAAAGGAAGGTTATCTCTCCACCTCCTTTTGCACCTTCACCAACATTGCCTCCTACCTTTCATCAAGAGGAAGTAAGCACATCATTTTTAGTCTCATTTATCAATTTTTCCTTCATCAGTTGTTTGTTGTGTGTCTTGGCTATTTCTAAGATTATGAAGTTACTTTCCTGTGTTTTCTTCTAAAAGGTTTATTTTATATTTAGATCTACAATCCATCTAGAATTGATTCTTGTTACTATGTTAGGGGTAAAGATCCATTTTCCCCCCAAAAGATATCTCATTGACCTAGCACCATTTAATGAAAAGACCATCTTTTCCCTAGTGCCCTGAAGTCACTGTAGTCATAATCAGGTCACCTTTGTCATAGGTGACTATGAATGTTTCTGGACTCTGTTCTGTTTCATCGATCTATTTCTCTGTCTTTGCACCAACACCACATTGTCTTAGTGTAGTTTTATTAATATGTCTCAGTATGTTGTGATGTATATTTTTCAGTATTACCTTTGCTGTTCTTAGTCCTTGCAATTTCCAGACATTTTAAAATTAGCATGTTGATGTTCACAAAAATATCTGCTGCAGTTTTTATTGGGGTTATATTGAATTTCTGGATCTGTGCTGTCCAGTATGGTAACCACTAGCCACATATTGCTAATGAGTACTTAAAATAATGTGTCTAGGGGCACCTGGGTGGCTCAGTCGTTAAGCGTCTGCCTTCGGCTCAGGTCATGATCCCAGGGTCCTGGGATCGAGCCCCGCATCGGGCTCCCTGCTCAGCGGGAAGCCTGCTTCTCCTTCTCCCACTCCCCCTGCTTGTGTTCCCTCTCTCGCTGTGTCTCTCTCTGTCAAATAAATAAAATCTTTAAAAAAGGCGCCTGGGTGGCTCAGTTGGTTAAGCGACTGCCTTCGGCTCAGGTCATGATCCTGGAGCCCTGGGATCGAGTCCCGCATCGGGCTCCCTGCTCAGCAGGGAGTCTGCTTCTCCCTCTGACCCTCTTCCCTCTCGTGCTCTCTATCTCTCAAATAAATAAATAAAATCTTTAAAAAAAAAAAAGTGTCTAGTCCAAATTCAGTTTACTGTAAGCATAAAATATACACTGGATCTGAAGATTTAGCACACCCCAGGAGTACAACATTTCATTAATGTATTTTCCTTTTTTTATTAATAAATTTCTTAATTATATATTAAAATGATAATACTTAATGGGTGCCCTGGATGGGTCAGTTGGTTAAACATCCAATTGTTTTTTTTTTTTTTTTAAAGATTTTATTTATTTATTTGACAGAGAGATAGAGAGCACAAGTAGGCAGAGTGGCAGGCAGAGGGAGAGGGAGAAGCAGGCTCTCCACTGAGTGGGGAGCTGAACGAGGAGCTCGATCCCAGGACCACAGGATCATGACCTAAGCCGAAGGCAGCCACTTAACCGACTGACCCACCCAGGCTCCCCAAAACATCCGATTCTTAACCTCAGCTCAGGTTTTGATCTCAGGGTCATGAGTTCAAGCCCCATGTTGGGCTCCACACTGGGCATGGAGCCTACTTAAAAAAAAAAAAAAGATAATACTTTGGATGTATTAGGTTAAATAGAATATATTATTAAAATTAATTTTACCTGTTTCTTTTTTTCATGTGGCTGCTGGAAATATTTATTTATTTATTGTAAAGATTTTATTTATTTGACAGAGAGAGAGACAGTGAGAGAGGGAACACAAGCAGGGGGAATGGGAGAGGGAGAAGCAGGCTTCCCGCCGAGCAAGGAGCCTGATGCGGGACTCGATCCCAGGACCCTGGGATCGTGACCTGAGCTGAAGGCAGACGCTTAAGAACTGAGCCACCCAGGCGCCCCAGCTGCTGGAAATATTAAAAATTATATATGTAGGTCTCATTTTATTTCCATTGGGCATTGTTTTAGATCCATTTAGGGAGAAGTGACATCTTTAGAATATTGAGTTTCCAAGAACATTGCATTTCCTTCATGTACTTGGATCTTACTTAATTTCTCCCAGTAATGTCATAAATCATAGTTTTTAGTGTCTTGCATATCTTCAATTAAACTTCTAGATAACTAATATTTTTTGAAACTAATGGAATCCTTTTTGAAATTTCATTTTGTTATTAATGCAGAGAAATTAAGTAGATTTTTGTGTATTGACCCTTGTATTCAGCAGTGTTGCTGAATTTCCTTATTGGTTCTAGTATTTGTTAGTGCATTCTTTTGAATTTTCTATACACACAATCAGATCCTCTGTGAATAATGACCATTTGACCTTCTCCTTTTCAATTCTTATGTCTCTTCTTTTTCTTACCTTGTTGTGCTAGCTAAGATCCTCCAGTATAATGTTGAATAAAAGGGATGACAGCAGGTATTCTTGACTTATTTCTAGTTTTTGAGCAAATAGAGCTTTTAATAATTTACCAATATGATGTTTGCTGTAGGTTTTGTGGTAGATGATCTTCATCAAATTAATAATCCCCTTCTATTACTAGTTTTAGACTTTTTTTATAATTGAGACGTCAAGGATTTATTTAACTCAGTAATGAGGAAAATAGCAGGATGGTAAAGTTGATTCAAAGAAGAAGACAGAGACAGGCTAATATAGTAGTGTGAAAGGCAGAGGAAAAACCACTAATATAAAGTTGCTAGAATAAACTGGTTAATGTACTGCAGGGTATAAACCATGATCTTGGGGATTACTTTGTGTTTCTACAGGACAGCGCTGATTGTTATCATGAATGAATGTTGTCTTTTTAATGTCTACATGGTCTATAGTGGTGTTCAGTTTTACACTTACGATATTGGTAATAACTTTTTTTCTTGGCCAGTCTTGCTAGGAATTTATCAGTTTTGTCTTTTCAAAAAGCCAGCTTTTGCTTTATTGATCTTATTTATTTTGGTGTGTTGATTATATGTACTGCCTCAACCATAGTGTGTATAAGTTTTTTAAAAATCCATTAGGTTTTCTCAGCAAGGTTGCAATTGATATTATGTAAGGAAAATGTCTTACATCCTTTATGGATAGACTTATGATTCTAAACAACATTGCTGTCTGACATTATGAATAATAAACAGTGAAAAGTGAGGTGCATCACATTGCATATAATAAAACAATTTTTTGGGCCTATGAAAGTGGTCTACTAAATAAAAGTTGTTCACAGTTATCTAGCTTTTCTATCTAAACACTTTAGATGAATTTTCCACAATGTAGGTTAATTAGTAAAGTCATAACATCTTCTATTAATGTAATTTTACTTGTAAGTATAAACATTACTTTTCAAACATTCTATGTTAGAGTCCTCCTAGAGCCTTGTTATGCCATACTAATTTTTTTAGCGATATGACACTGCAAAGATGTAAGCTAATTTTGGAATCAAACATACTTATTTTTGAAGTTCAGCTGTGTCATTCTGTGTGACGTTTTATAAGTTACTTAGCCTCCCTAAACTCTGAAGCTCAGGTTTCTCCATTTGTAAATCCAGCATAATAAAGCCTGCTTCATAGTGGTGTGGTAAAGATTTACTGAGACACAAGGCATCTGGCACATGTCAGGCATTCAGTAAATAATAACTTTAAATTTGCTTTTTTCTTTTTACTTCTAATAAATATTATAATAATGCCTTGCTATTAAGGAATTTTATCTAGAATTATTTTAGTTACTGACATACAAGGCTATATATTTAAACTTCAGTTCTGATTATAAACAGCCTACATATGATTGTATTAAATTCATACATTTTGGGGCACCTGGGTGGCTCAGTTGGTTAAGCATCTGCCTTTGGCTCACTTCATGATCCTGGGGTTCTGGGATTGAGCCTGCTCCTTCCTCTCCCACTGCTCCTCCTGACCCCTCTGACACACACTCTCTCAAATAAATAAATAAAAATAAATTCATATATTATAAAAATATATAACATAGAGAAATTTCTCCAACATCCCATTTTCTGTATCATCGTAAGTTTATTATAAATTTCAACTTTCTAAATATATTTCAACTTTTGTGTGCATGAACTAACCTATTACTTTTTAATAGGATCATTTAGTAATATATCCTGAGGTTTTGTTTATATTTACTTTTTTTATTGTTTTTACTTAACCAATTATCCTGGATGTCTTTGTCAGTAAATAAATTTATCTAATTCTTTTTACCAGCCACATAATATATTAGGGTGAGGCAGGGTAAGCACTCTTGTTAGTAGATCATATCTTTAAAAAGCTAGCTGTTCTACATGAAGCTTGCATGCGAAGGAGAAATAAAGGAGATAAAATTTTTAAATTGAGATAGGACAAAAAAAGTTTATAAACAGTAGAAATGGGAGTTATGGTTTTAAATGAGTAATATTTATGAACAGCAAAACCCTTTGTCACTATAGAAAACCAGTAATGATGACTCAGAAAAGTTTTTTGTTTTTTTTAGATGGGGGAGGCATAGAGCCACTTAGATACATCAATAGCCCCCATGTTATCAGTATATCAATGCATATATATTTGTGGTAAAGTTCTAGTTCTGCCCTTTAATGGTATAGTCTTAGATCAGCTGTGTTCTCACATGGACCTGCGGAACATTTGAGGTAGTATACATAAAAGCACTTTGAAAATTGTAAAAGTTCACACAAATGTGAATATTGTGATTTAAAAAAAAATATGTTAGACCTAGAATAGCTATTCTGTTATTATATAATTTCAGAACTCAACTTGAGAAGATTCAGTATCTTTTCCCTTTTCACTTCACAGAATCAACCTAAGGACCAGAATTTATTTAAAATACGAATTAATGCTGTTAAAGAGATTTCAGTAAAAAAGTTACTGCATCATGATGCACTATATAGAACATTCTAAGTTCCAATTTAGGTAGTCGTTAATGCTCTTGTTTACCTGGAATGTTATTGAAAGAAACAACGAGGAGTGTCCAGCAAAGCTAGGGCCTGGTGCATATTAGCTCAAGGGTTGATCCATCCAATGAAGAAGAGGATGAGCAAACCTCCTCAAAAGTCCTGGCTTAATTCCTTGAAAGATACTGAGATACTTGTTTTTGACCCTCTGCTAACAAAGGGTAAAAACTAAACATCTTTCTTTACGTGTTTCATATTTTTCATAGTCTACAGAAATCTTCTGTTGTAACAGATAAAGCAACCATCATTATGTTGCTTTAGCATGGTGTTCTAAGAAATTCCTGCTTTCTCTGTGTTGTTACTTATAAAACATATATATATATACACACATATATATATATATCTTTTTTTTTCCCCCATCTGTAGTTTTTGGATGAAGACTTGAAGGTAGCTGGGAAATACAAAGGAAATGATTATAGCCAGTATTCTCCCTGGTCATGCGACACCATCGGCTCCTACATTGGAACCAAAGATGCAAAACCCAAAGATGTGGTGGCTGCAGGGAGCGTGGAAATGATGGTATGTGTGATAACTAAGCCACAATGAATACAAATGAAGAGAAACCAAATAAGTCAGACCCCGTTAATAGTGAAGACACAAATAATTGAGCTTTCCTTAAGAATTTCAGGCCATATTCTATATGATGTGAATTGAATTATGTTTATATGGGTTTTTTATTTGTTTCTTTCAGGTATAAACATAAATCTTCTAATACGTGTCTAGATAGACAAGAGCGTTTGTTGTATTTCTGAGCAGCCAATGATTAACCCAACAACTGTTTAGAACCAAAATTAGGTTATTTTGCATAATTAATCAGGATCTTGGATTTCTTGTTCAAGTAAATTATAACTCTTAAAACTCTGAAGTTTAAACAGTGAAGTTGAATCTAATGAACAGTAGTAGTATTTGAGTCAGAATTGTAGCTAGTAAGCTTCAAGTCAACTGTGGTATATTGAAATGTATTATACTTTATTTTATTTTTATATATCTAATATCCAAGCTTTATATATATATATATATATATATATATATGTAACTATCTTGATTGCTTCTTTATTTTCTAAAGAAATAAAACTTTATAGAAATAGTTAAATCTTGTATATACTTCCCTAATTTCATTTTTCTTCCTTCTTCCCTGGAGGTAACCTTTATCCTGAATTGGAAGTTTATCATTTCATGGATACTTTTGTACTATTCCTAAACAATTTTGTTTTGTATGTTTATAGGCTTTATATATATTATATACTTCAGCTTGCATTTTCATTCAACTTTTGTTTTTGAGATGTATCCAAATGTATAGGTCAGGTTCTTTCATTTTAACTGCTTTTATCAAATACCATTGTATGATAACTGGTATTGTTTTATATATATACACACACACACACGTTATTATTTGTTTATTTTTCTGGCTCCCCGCTCAAGAAGGAGTTTGCTCCTCCTTCTCCCTCTGCCCCGTTCCCTGCTCATGTTCTCTCTTTCTCTCTCTCTCAAATAAATAAATATTTTTAAAAGTGGGGGAGGGTTATTAAAGTAACAGAAATTAGCAAAATAAGACTCATTTCCTTAAATCACTAAAGAATAAAAATATTTGTCAACCTAACCTAGATATAATTGAAAATCCCCCAAACAGGTGAAAGACTGTTAGTGTTTTTCAGACATTAGTGTGCATGTAAATTATGTTGGAGTCTAGTTAGAACCTGTTGAAGTGCAGTTCCTAATTCAGTAAGACTAGGGTGGGACCTGAGATTCTGCATGTCTGATGAGTTCCCACCTGATGCTGCTGCTGCTGGTCCTCAAACTATATTTTGAGTAGCAAGGGTGTACCAGTTAGATTTCCGTTTCCATTTCTCTTGGTACTTATTTCTTTCTGATTGGAATCCCTTTGAAACATCTGTGTTAGCTACTTAATATTTTTAGGCAGTGGTTTTCTAACTATTGAGTTTTGAAATTGAGTGGGTTGTGATGGGTCTTTTTTTAAGGAATAATGTAGAATAACAATATAAATACAAGAGCACGTATAGTAAGAGGTAAATATTTGTCATGAAATTATATCTGTATGTTAGAGTGTATATATATATGTACTGGGTCATGATGTAAAATATATTTCTTATTGTGGGGAGTGAGCAGAGGTTTAAAAAGCAATGTTTATGATGACAAGCAAATTATTTTAGTCCTACCAATAAGAACGTTATACTCTTTTTTTTTTTTTTTTTTCACCTTATCACAGAGCTGTGGAAATAATGTTAGAGATCTAAGTGTGGGGTGGATTTCTCATTTTACTTTTTACCAGAATGTGGAGAGTAAAGGAATGAGAGATCAACGACTGGATCTTCAGAGAAGAGCTGCAGAAACCAGTGATGATGACCTTATCCCATTTGGAGACCGACCAACTGTATCGCGGTTTGGTGCCATCTCTAGAACCTCCAAAACAATATATCAGGGTGCTGGTCCAATGCAGGCTATGGCACCTCAGGGAGCTCCCACAAAACCTATTAATATTTCAGGTAAGAATTGAAGGTAAGCTGATCTAGTGGGTTCATATTCAAGACTTTCAGCCCCCATCCCTACTCCCCATTTACTATGAGTGCTTTCCATACTCTTACAAGGCAGTAATCTTTTAAACTCTTCCATGGAATTATCCCTGTAGAAAGGTAGTTATAACCCAGGGAATTCTAAGGGTACAAACTAAAATGTCCCTGTGTGAAGATTGCCTATGTTGGTTTTGTGTTAATAGCTTCATTGCTTTTATTAAAATAATACATTTTCATTTTAAAAAATTGAAATGGGCGCCTGGGTGGCTCAGTCGGTTAAGTGTCTGACTCTTGATCTCAGTTCTGGTCTTGATCTCAGGGTTGTGAGTTCAAGCCCTGTCAAAAAAAAAAAAAGAAAGAAAAGAAAGAAACAATCCAAAGACTGTTTTCTTTCAGTGGGGAAAAAACAAACATCTTATCCTCTTTAATTAGTGGACATCTTTCCAGATAGCTGTGTATAAAATATGCCTGTGCCTTTTAGATTATGGCTACCTTATTTTTTAAAATTTTATTTATTTGAGAGAGAGAGACAGAGACAGAGATGGTGAGAGAGAGTGGGGGAAAAGAGAGAGAAGCAGGTTCCCTGCCAAGCAGAGAGCCCGATGTGGGGCTCAATCCCAGGACCCTGAGATCATAACCTAAGCCGAAGGCAGGCTCTCAACCGACTGAACCACATAGGCACCCCAGATTATGGCTACCATAAAAGAAGAATGAAATCTCGGAATTGCATCATCCCACAGTAAATTATTCTCTTATAGATTATAGTCCATATGGAACCCACGGTGGCTGGGGAGGTTCTCCATATTCACCTCATCAAAACATACCTTCTCAGGGACACTTCAGTGAGAGGTATGACTCATTCTTTTTACTTTTATAAACCTTTAAAATTATTCAGCTTTTCTTATTTTATTTTTCTTGTCAATAACTTTTATTATTTTCATAGTGAAGTAACAGATTTTTATGTCAGAACAGTAGTAGATCAAACCTAGAGGGGTTTTTGTTTTCTTTCGATTTTTTTTTTCAGTTGAAGTATAGTTGACACAAAATGTTATATTAGGTCAACAATTTTTTTTTTAAATAAAACTTAAAATTTATTCCATCCTTTCTTTCCCACCAAAGGGAGAGACTGTCCATGTCAGAAGTGGCCAGTCATGGAAAACCCCTTCCATCTGCTGAGAGGGAACAGCTACGACTGGAATTGCAACAACTAAACCATCAAATCAGCCAACAGACTCAGCTCCGTGGACTAGAGGTACCCACCTACAGATAGTTTTTCATTCCAATTTTTGGAGGGTTCTCAAAGGGGTTTTAAAAGGAAGAACTTCTGGGGCGCCTGGGTGGCTCAGTCGTTAAGCGTCTGCCTTCGGCTCAGATCGTGGTCCCAGGGTCCTGGGATGGAGCCCTGCATCGGACTCTCTGCTCCGCGGGAAGCCTGCTTCTCCCTCTCCCACGCCCCCTGCTTGTGTTCCCTCTCTCGCTGTGTCTCTCTCTGTCAGATAAATAAATAAAATCTTTAGAAAAAAAAAAAAAGAACTTCTAAGGTACTATGAACAAAAATTAAGGTCTGTTCCTTAAAGAGTTAGTATTGGTGTCCATTCTTCAAAGAATTTAAGTACTTAAGAGTTCAGTGTGGGACAATAGGAAATTCAGAATTTCTATTCCATGGAAAACAAGACTATCTAAAATTTCCCAGCAGAAACTTAAATTCCCTGATGGCACATTTAAGGTATACAGTTTTTATCATCAAATGCTTTTAGCTTAAAATTTGTTTTTCATTTTTCATACTGCCTTTCTTAATTAAAAAAAATTCTATTTCCTTTAATCCTTAGCATTTATTTATACATTTTTAAAAGATAGAATCTTAGAACTTAAAGAGTAGGATAAGGAATAATACTTGGAGTTAATGGTCTGAATCTTTAAAACGTTAATCAACTAACTCTAGACTTCAAAAAAGAATAGACTTCAAAGAGAATAGCCTCTGTGTAGCGATTGTACCTTCTGTTAATATAGTTCTCTCCGTTTGTAAGTTACCATCGCAGGTCCAGATTGACCCTTACAATGACCCTGTCAGGTAGGTTAGGCAAGTCGTATGTAGTCCCTGTGTTCTGGTTAAAGGATAGGAGTTTCACAGAAGTTGAAATACAAACCCAAGTCTTCCTACTCGAAATTCAGTGTTCTTTCCACCATGCTGCCTGACACTTAAAGAGAAAAAATATCTAAAATCAAAATTTTTTTTAAAGATTTTATTTATTTATTTGAGAGAGAGAGAGACAGCACAAGTGGGGGGAGGGCAGAGGGGGAAGCAGACTCCCCGCTGAGCAGGGAGCCCAGTGCGGGGCTTGATCCAGGAACCCTGTGATCATGACCTGAGCCGAAGGCAGGCGCCCAACCAACTGAGTCACCCAAGTGTCCCTGAAAACAAAGAATTTTTAAAATCCTTCAAAGTGCCACATAAAGAAGACTAGGTTTTGTTTACATTACCCTTTACGTGGGAGCATATTCTTTGAATTTAGAAAACTGAAGACATTCTACTGATAAATACATGGCTCCCTCCTGGAGAAAAAGATAACTATCAGAACAGCAGTCATTATCTTTCTACCAAGATCTTTGATAAGGAAGACTTCCCTTTGGAAATAAATTTTTAGCTAATTCTATCTTAAGATTCCCATATTACAAAGGCCAATAGGAGATTGTTTTTTTGGAACACATATCTGACTTGTTGTGCTCTTATGTAAGCAATAAGGCTTAGAATTTTAACTATGTAATACTCATATTTTGTCTTGTGCCATTATTTTATTTACATTGGTCTAGAACTTCTTGCTGATTCTTATATTGTAAAAAAAAAATGGTATGTCTGATTATGTCCTTCTTTAGTTGATTAACTTTTTCAAGATTCAGACCATTAATTCCAAGTATTATTCCTTAACCTACTAATTCATGGCTTTTTGTCTTACTTGAAATTTGTAGACCCATTTTCTGTTCTAAAAGAATAATCAGCATCATTTGGAAGTTTGCCACATATTTAACTTAGTGTGGTTAAAAGTTCTTGCCATTACTGAGGTTTCATTGAAATAAATTGGAGGATTTACTTCAGAAAATTCAATTTAAAAAAGAGGGGAAAAGACGTGCATTTATACTTGACTTTTCTTTCAAATACAGTAAGAGCAACTTATCCGTAAGATTAAATTACTGTTTACTAAGTTTAAATCCCCTAGTTTTTTCAATTCAAATGGCATTCAAAGAGATAGTGCCTAATAGTGTCATTTTTATTGCAAATATCTTCATGATAAACTACTTGAGGCGGTGATCTGAAATTGGGCCTGGTCATGTGCATGGTGTGAAATGTGTTGAGTTGTATATGTGCTTGGCTTTATGCACTAGGCTGTTAGTAACAGGCTGGTGTTGCAGAGGGAGGTGAACACCCTGGCAGGCCAGTCACAGCCCCCACCACCACCTCCAAAATGGCCTGGAATGATTTCAAGTGAGCAGTTGAGCTTGGAACTGCACCAGGTGGAAAGGGAAATCGGGAAGAGAACCCGGGAACTGAGTATGGTGAGTGTTCTGGTGGAAAGGGTGGGAGCTGGGAGAGGTGAAAGGAAAACTGTGCAGTGATGTCCCAGAACTCATGGCTCTAGAGCTCTAGAATCATCACCCCAAGGCACTCCAATGAGTGGTTAATACTTAGAATAAGTCTCATGAAAATGGGCTCTTTCCCTATTTTATTCATTCCTCCTCTCATTCCTTTTTGGTTTGAGTGTGTTCTCTGTCTTAGGATTCTGCATTATGAAAAACTTTCAGGGAAAACAAGGCAGTTAATTGGACATTATTAAATTACTGTTTAATATACTGATTAGGGAAGCTGAGGGGATGGTGTTTATGATTTTGCAAATGTGTTCACAAATAGCATTCTAGTTTTTATAGCCTTCAGTTATTGAAGACCTGTTTTTTGTTATGAGTGAAATGCAATCTACACATTCCTTCTTGAGGAATCATATCCATGGATATGCTTAGGGTTTGCTTCATAGTACATGAATACTGGTTTTAGTAAATTGTGGATTTGGGGGGATTGAACCATTCCCCCAGGTTGCATGGTAATTGACTCTTTTGTTGAATAGTTTTCACGTTCTTTCTAAGCAAATAAATGGGGTATTTCATTTTTCTGCTTTCAATAAGTATATTATAGGTAGTTATTATATTTTGGCTTACCTTTTCTAAGTCATCAGTTTTTCTAACTTGGGGCATTCTCCCCCTTGTTTTCTAGCTTGGATAGTGAGCAAGTGTACTCTGTTATTATTATCGTGTATGTCTCCCTTTTAGGCTGCCCATTTCTTTGGTCATTTTATAAAACTATATATGATTTATGAATTATCAATTTGTATTATCTGTATTTGGTCTTTCATTAGCACCATTAAATAGAAGATAACTGAATTTACTTTCTTCTCTTTCAAAGGAGAACCAGTGTTCTCTGGACATGAAAAGCAAATTGAATACAAGTAAGCAAGCTGAAAACGGACAACCAGAACCACAAAATAAGGTTCCAGCTGAGGACCTTACATTGACATTCAGGTAAAGGAGGGGACATTGTCATAGTCTTATATTATCCAATCCTGACAGAAGTGCCCTCATAAATATGGTTTGTTTTTAAAAATATTCTGTATACATTAAGAAAAGAGTATTTTCACATAAATTTAGTTAATAAAACTTATTTTAGAACAGATTCAAGATTGAATTATCTGTAACAAATGAATTTTTCTGGCTCCATTTCTTCTTTCCCGTTTTTTAGTTTGTTTAAAACCAGTGTTAACATTTTGGTGTAGACCTTGCCAGTCCTTTAAAGTGTGTGGATATTTAACCTCTTTCAAATCCACCTTCCACCTCATCCCCTTGGTTTTTAATTTGGTCTATACCGTATCATCTAGAGGTGGAAGGATATATGTCAGCTATCATTGAACAACCATACAGTAAACAGATTTGTAATAATTCTTTATTTGCACAGCTGTAATTATTTTCTTACGGTATTTTGAAGTCATTTGCTGCGTAGTCCTGAGTTACCCTCCTGATGATTGTATAACAATAATTTCTAATGCCCTGTTGCTTTCAGGCTTAGGTTTTAGCTATTTATATCCATACACTGTCCTGGGTTCAAAATAATTTCTTGTACTAGTAAGCCTGCTAAAGCAGGGGTCAGAACTTCTTAAAGTCCAGATGGTAAGTATTTAAAATTATGGGTCTTACCGTCTCTGTGGAAACTCTCAGTTCTGCCCTTGTAGTGTGAAAGCAGCCATAGACAATACATAAACAAATGGGCAAGCTGTGTTTCAGTAAAACTATACTTATAAAAACAGGCATTGCTTAGCCTTAGTTTGCCAACCCCTGTGCTTAAAGCATGGACATCGAGCTGTAAATTAAAGTTTAAAAGCTACTTGCATATTTTTCCATACTCATAAAAGAAGCCCTATTGATTTTATTCTACAAATCATTTTTCTCTCTCTCCTTATTAAAATTCCAACTTTTTTTTAAATGTTAACAGTGATGTACCAAATGGCTCAGCGTTGACGCAAGAGAATATCAGCCTCCTGTCAAACAAGACCAGCTCTCTGAACCTGTCAGAGGACCCCGAGGGAGGAGGTGACAACAATGACTCCCAGAGAGCGGGAGTCACACCCACTTCTGCTCCCTAAATTATGAAGAGTCCAACTTTTATCTTTTGCTCCTGATCAATTTGTGGGGCATAGGGGTAGGAGAACAGATAACTTCTAAACTTTTTCTCTGAGAGTGGTCAGAGAAATCCAGGAAAAGTACCGGAGGCAATGTGCACAAACACCACTACTAAAAACAAACCCTGCACATAGTTCACATTAATGCATTTTTTAATTTAAAAAAAAGGAAAAAGAAAAAGAAAATTAGCAGTATCTGCAAGCAATTCAGATTAAATTTGTTTTTGTTCTGTGAATGAACTTTATTTTAATAACTTTGGACGCCTTGGATCCAGGGCTTTAAAAAAAAAAAAGAAGATATTATATATACACTCTGTTTGATTAATTGTATGATCTTAATGAAGTAGGTTTTTCTTGTATTTTGGTATTATTACATACCCAGTGTATAATTCCTTTCCCCCAATCCTTTCCAACTTTCACAAACCCCATAAATTAAAACAGATAGAAAGCACCGCACTGTCTTGAGAATTCTGTGGTGCTTGAGAAACAAAAAGACAGTAGTAGACTAGTTATTAGAAAATGTGCAGCAAACCAGCTTTTCTAAGAGCTATTACTTGAAAGTCATAATTTTCTTTCCCTTTCTGGTAACTGGCTTCATGTGTATGTTTTTCATATGGCACTAAAACTTTTTGTTGTTCAGGAGGGATTTGTTTCTTGTTTTTGTTTTTATTTCAGCTTTTTCAGAGAGATAATTACCAATTAATTTTTCAAGTCCTCATTTCCATATTATGGATCCATTTCATTCTCTTAATGTAATCAGAAAGCGAGACCAATACTGTAGGCTGTTTGATTAGATATTTAAATGGAGATTATTTTAAGAATGAACTGTAATTTATTAGTATTGAAAATACATGGTTGGTATATTACCTGTACTGAGCTGATGGTTGGAAATTTGGAGCTGTGCTTTTTCAAATTAAACTTTTGCTAAAATCATAAAATGTATTAAAAAAAAAACAGGAAAATCAACCATGTTTTAAAACTGCAACACTTGAAGTGAAAATGAACAGTCATATTATTTCAGTGGATGTTTTTGTTTTGTTTTACTGTCAAAACCCAACCCAAAAGTATAAAATAAAATGAAAGCCCCTGGCTTTCAAATAGATTTGGCAAATACAGACTGCCCAGATCTTAAGGATACTTTATGAATTGACTAGTTGTTGTTCAGAATCATTGGCACCAGTAGGTAGTAAGTACCTAAAAGTCAGTTTTCATAGACTTGACTTTACAATAGTGAAGAGATGCTTCATGAAAATGTTGAAAAGAATAAGGAATTTTTTAAAATTTAGTTCTGCTGCACATATTCTGATGCCATGTGTCTATACTGAACTAAGACCTTATAAAACGTTTTTGTGGGATTATTTGATATAGTCACCTTCCCATCCCTCTGTTTGCCTGATTTTTAAGAAATTTCCCTTTCTGGATTATACTACTAAAACAGAAAGCACTGGTTATGTAATAAGTTACTGCATTGCTTTGGTTGGGTAAAAGCAAGAGTTTGTATTTTTCTTGTTTCTTATTTTCTTAACCCTTAACTCCTGCTGAGGTCATAAACAACCTCAGTGTAAGCTCTGTGTCCATCGTACTGTTAACTGAAACAAATGGGGGGAGGGGGGAGGGAAATACAGTCCTGCCATTGCCTACCAGTAGGAGAGTCCAAACAGAACACTCTTTTGAGTAGCGATTATTTAATTTGCCCAGTCAAGGCACCGTGTTTATATACTATTTCACATTGAATTTGATTATGCCCTACAGACCTGGCTGGTCAAGGATTTGATATACACATATTGGCTTGGGATTCGAGCTTTCTTTTTTATTTAAATAAAAATTTATATATATTATATATATATACATATATACATAGCTATATCTGTATATATATTGGATATGTTTTAAGGATTTTTTCGCATGAGCGCAGCTGTTGCGATAAAATGACTGATTGGGAGGTAGAAGCACTGAATGAAGATGAGGCATTTTTTCAGTTGATACCATATTTTCCTTTCTTAAAAATACACACTTGCTTTTTTTGCTTTTTTGTTTGTTTTCTTTTTTCCTTAAAACCCTCTTATATGTAAGTGCTTATTGTTTTTTGGGAGAAGGAGAGAAACTTGGTATGTCTGACAGAGTCCCAAGATTTTTTATTTTTTTGTATAACTATAAAAGGCAACATTCTTGGCCTCCAACCTTCTGTAGGCAGATTTGGGCAGATCTTATTTCTCCTTTGGACATATTAGATAATTCCTAAATTTTAGAAGCAGTTGGTTCAATTTGGAACTCAGAATGATTCTGGTATTAGAAGGGAATTTATGGGTATTAATTTTGTTGAAGTTCAGAATAAAAGTAAAATTCTATTTTGGATATCCATTGAAACATCTAGTAAGTCAACTTCTGTTATTCTTGTTTTTATATCCTCCAAATACACTCCTTGCTTTCACCATTTTGATTTTGTAAGCTAGGCAGGAATAGATGTTAACTCATATAGTATTCCTATTCTGAATAAAAGCAGAAAAGCCACTGTTTTGAATTGACTTAAAATAATTCCTTTCACTTTTTAAGTTAATTTCATTGGGGATCGGGGTGGGGACAGATCTGAATTGACTTAAAATAATTCCTTTCACTTTTTAAGTTAATTTCATTGGGGATCGGGGTGGGGACAGATCTCTTATATTGTAGCCTTAATTCTAGCTGTACCTCAGTAAGGCCCCACACACTCTAGAGGAACTCTGGTTGGGTAGAAAGGCAGAAGAATGATATCCTATCCCATTGTGCCTATAACTTACCTATTTTAAATTAGTCATTCTGCCTTATCTCATGGAAATTCTTACAACTTTCCTAGTAGTCATAAGCAGTTTTAGGAATTAAAACCTCCAAAGTTTGGATTTTTTCCCCCCCCTTTTCTCTGTGATACACTTTGTGAAATGATGAACCTATAAGGGTAAGTGGCCTTTTTGGGCAAAACTGCTTGACTCTTTTTTTTTTTAACTGCTTGACTATTCAGCAGCTTTTTTTGGTCAAAACCTGTGAAAGGCACTGATTTTTTTTTTTTTTTGGCTTTTAAAATATATGCCTTTAGAGACTTAACAGTTAAGAGATTAAATCAGTCAGATAGGAAATACAGTTTTTATGCTTTCTACTTAGTAAGTAAAATATTAATTTCTTCCGGAGATGACGTTATTTGCTTTTCACTGAATTCAGAAGCAAGACTGACATCACAGATGAACATGAGCAATTCTGAGAGGGTTAAGGTAGGAGTATAATAAGCATTATGTTCACTCTTGTTTAGATAACAAAACCAGAATTTTATTATAGTTAGGAATATAAAAGTACTTTGACTTATTTTTTTCCAAGGTATCTCTGGAAAAGAGTAGAAGAACTGAGAATAAGTTATCTACACGCAGTTTCCTAACATACATGGTTCTTTTGCCTTGTAGATACTGTCACAAGATAAGTCCAATAGCTGTCCTGTCTTGGGTGATTTACAGAAGCTAAAGTGACCAAAGATCCATTCCTTTTTACTTTTGTAATCAAAAGAACAGTTATAGCATAGGTTTCTAGTAATATTCACATGATAAGACACTTATTTCTAATGCCAGCTACAAATATCCAAATACTCAGAATGTATAAAAAATTATTTGGTATTGCATTAATGTGGCTGATTCCCTTCTCTCATCTTATTTCCCTTCCCTTCTCCTAGACTTTCCTGTGTATTTATTCTTTTGCCTAAAAGACATAAAGTTCGTATGATTCTTATTTGTTACCATGAATATGTAACTCCATCAGACTTTCCATAGGTCTTCAGGGTTAGAGCTCAAAGGTTTTTTTCCTGGCCCTTTTCTATCTTGCAAATTCCCCTTGACTTACCCACTGCCCTCCCCAATCTGCAACAGTGACAGTTTGCTGCCTCAAAACAGAGCATTCAAATGAATTCGCTTAGCCAATAACTTCTGTGAAGTTGCCTTTTCTAATGGTGTTATTACTCAGTGATGCACAAATGTGGTATTTGCCCTACTGGTAGGCAAACAAAGGTCTGGTTAAGAATGGTAACCTGCTGTTTTCTTTAAAGGAGAGCCAAAGACTTGTGCTTTACTCTGTTTTGGTTTTGGGGGAAATAGCCATTTTGATTGTGAAACCTTTTAGTATTTGTGAGTTGATTGTATTGTGTAAGTAGATATATCTGAAGTTAACTGTTAACAGTAGCTGGCCTTATAAAATGTAAAAGTAATGAAAATTCACCAGTTTCTCTAAACCAGTGAATGTCATCTTTTACAATATTGTGTGTAAGCAGTTACCCCCGTTTTTTGAGATTATCTTGTCAACGATAGCATCTTGTGTGTTTTGGTTTTTAACTTGTGTCGGAAGGACAATCTATATCACTATGGTCAAGCTATGAGACTGGGTAAAAGAATTCATGAGCATGTGACTGGTGAGAAATAAACTATAGTCACTGCATGTAAGATTATATTCAGATTTGGAGAAAAACAGATTCTTTTCACTAAAAAGTATTTGCTTTTAAATACACATGGTGATGGGTGGAGGTCTTACCATCTTTTTTCCACTTTGTTTTTGCTCATTTTAAAGAATTGAGTAAAGGTTTTGTAATATAAAATCTACCTGTAAAAAGCACCTGTAATGATACATATTTTATTAAAAGGAAAGACCCAGTTACTTTTGAGGAAAAATTAATAACCTGCCTGGAAATTAACTGTAGCGTTTACTTAGATTTGTCCCCTAAAAGAGCCTGATTGTGTTTATTTTTTAGTTGGTGATACCTGGTGATAGTGTTGCAAGATGATCTCTTCCCTGAAAAATCAGCCTGTCCTTTTAGAAAAAAAATAGAGCAACTAAACTAAAGCAGATTTCACTTTCAACATTAGGGACTGAACAACAAGCAAACAATTTACTGCTGTCATCATTTTACTCATTTTGCTGGTCCTCATTCATACCTTTCTACCTTGGACAGCTATGACTTATATTTATTTGTTGCTTCAGCTCAGCTTTATGAAATTTTCCTGCTGAAAGGACTTATTGGGAGTTGTAGGTGGATTGCAGTTAATATTTTATTAAATTCTTAATTCAACTTTTCTGAGCCATTTGAAAAAGAAAGCTGTTTTTGTCAAAAGGTACTGTTAATTATAGTAAATACCAACTTAAGATTTGGTTTTTAAGGTTTTATTGCTTTGACTGGTAAAGATGTTTTCATATAAAACAGATTCTAATTGATAAGTAATACTAGCTATGATGTTAATAAATAATAGGACACTGCCACCACCAGGAAAAAGTAACACCTTTTAATAATAAATGTGTTCCCAATAGGTGGGTTTTCAATACTGCACTGAACAAAGTGGGAAGAGCCCTTTGAAATCCTATTGTGATAAAGGGACTTAACCTCACCACTGGAATCCTTGTTTTCAGAGCCTCTGAATTTTCAGCCAAACACTGAATTTACTTTAAATTTTATTCCTGAACAGAACATCCCTAGAGTAATAACCTTTATTTTCACAAGAAAATAAGGCGCAGTAACCCAAGAGAGAGAAGTTAAACCTTAAGATAATATTGTGTCCAAAAGTGTGTATTTAGGAAAGTCAAATCCTGTGGAATTAGTATATTATATACTAGATAAGGTGACTTATTTTCTTGTACTGAGGTCTCTCTGTTTCTGGTTGTTTTTGTTTTGTT